TGTTAGTCGAGTCGTTATTTCTTTTTAAATTTCCGGTATTCTTTTAGTAAATGCTTTTACGATCGACAATTGGTATTACTATAAATATAACAGCGCTTATTAGCGTTGTTTAAGCGCTTGCTATACTGCTTGTCTTTCTGCCAGTAAAACTTGTGATTAGTAAAGTACTGACTGACAGTATGCTAGGCGCTGCTAGCTGAGTCTTTAAAGGTTTAAAGTGATTGTCGGAGCTTGAAGGCAAGAGCCTTAAATGTATGAGACGGGGTGAATAAGGCGTATTCGAGTTTCTCAACGCCATGGAAGGCGCATTCTGTAGCTGCAATCAGCTGTGTCTCGCCGAGATATAATAGGCCGAAGGCACGTTAACAAAGCTGCAGCTTGTTAAAAAGTGTCTCAAAGGCGTTTATATTAGACCTGCCAGCATTTTCAAGTCATGCCTTTATATTGTTGTAGGTAATTGCAGACCAATTACGATAATACTGCGTTTTATTAACCTTTATAATAAAATGAATTTTAAAAGGATTATATATGTTAAAGAAGATAGAGTAACGGTTAACGTAATGTATGAAATATATTCGGGCTACCCCAGTAAGCACTTAAGAAATCACCGCGTAGAATTAACTAGGTTTAATGCTAATAGTAAAACATGTGTTTAAAAAAACGCATTTTATCTTCTAGGATATTATACGGTCTTTTGAAGTAACAGTCTTTCTTTGTTTATATTTTAACGAACGTAACGATAGTTATAAAAGTAAGATCTTTATTTATCATTAAGGTAAGGAGGATTTGTATATATAAGTTAAGTAGCTGCGTTTAAAAGCTATTATTTATGCTGTTATATATTTCAAAACCGGGGTCCAGTATCATAGTAATATGTTAATAATCGGAAACAAAGTTATTAATTGCGTATATTATCGAGGTTTATCTAGGTATAAATCTAGCTTGTAAAGTTTATAAGGGATTTCAATATTAAAGACTTGTTAAAACGAGAGCAAGTGTTTATAAAGTAATTATAAACTAGTTAGTTTTAATACTTTAAAATACGACATTGTTTTATAAAACATACTACTTGGTAGGTTCGAGTTTAAAGGTGTCAGTAAGAAGCGGGTTATTTTCGTTTCAAAGATCGAAACTAAGTATATTGATATTAAATGGATTAGCATTATTAACTCTTTCTTGTACTTAAATAGCTATGTACCCTTTAACTATTTTTTATAAGTCAGGGTTTAAATATAATAGTTTCGTCTTATTAAGCGTAATCTTGTTTTAATAAGAAGGTTTTTTATAGTTAGAGGTGAATAAGTGCGTTTATAATAAAGTGGTTTGCCTTGCTTAAGTAGATTTCTCAGAAAATAAGGCATTTTTGAAAAATACCGTAAATAGTTCGCTTAATCTTTTCAAAGTCGTCTTTTGTCCATTTTTTAAAGTCTATTTAAAAGCTTTTAAAGATGTTATAAAGGACAGGCTTTTCATTGCCGTTATAACGGTCGATATAAGCTAAGGTGTAACAGTTAATATAAATAGTATCATTATCTTTTAAATTGACTAGATAGATTAGGTCGAGATCGATAGTGTTAATAAGGTTGGCATGTAAATTGTGCTTATTAAGGTATTATAGCTTATTATCTCTTAAGAAGTTTGCGGGTTCCTGAGCGACTTGGATTTCGCTGCTCACATTGCTAGAGGCCATCTTGTCGGACGTACGCGTGTGCGAGAGATTTATACTTGTGCAAAGGTTTTGCGCGTAAAAGAGGGTTCTGTTAACAGTCCGTGCTGCCGTGCAGAGATGTGAATATTGCTGTGATTGCAGCGTAATCCATTGCGTTGAGTCGCCTCTTCTAGAAGAATGTTTACAGTAGAAAACCTCGGATCTCATGCTGTGCCTCGAATCGCCTCTTGAAGAACGTTTGCGACAGAAGATTCAGATTTTTGGCTGTATCCTAATTATCGTGTTAGGATTGTTAATACAGTAAGATCTCTTCTTTTCTTTGGTTATCCATGTTGCCTTAGAAGATAGCACTGATCAGTGTTAAAACAGGCTTAAACGATGAATTATAATACTCGAGTATTAGGTCAAGGTTATAATGTTGCTAATGGTTGGCTTGAAAGGCATCTAGCTAGACTTAAAGGTCTAGCTAAATGCCTTTTTAATCTACTATCTTATCTTATTTAATCATATATAAAGGTTTTAATATAAATAGTTTGTAAGTTAAAATTGTATGGATCTAACAACTACCTTTAAATAATTAATATGAATAGCACGTATAATATTAACGAGTAAAAAATGCTACTATTTAATGTTATAAGACATACTGTTAGCGGTTTTATATTTAAGTACGCTTTTGCTTTGATTAACGATAAAATTGATAACTTTTATAATTAAGTAATCCGTTAATTCGTTAAACTTTACGTAAAGATCAGGGTTTTTTTCTTTCACGTAAATATTGTAAATTTCGGTAAAAAGCTATAAAAGGCTTTTAAAGAATATTTTTTACTTTATAAAAAGCGTTGTTGTTAACGTAACTCGCTTATCAAAAATACAAAACCCGAAAAAACTAAAGTATAAGAATAAATAAACTTTAACGAAGTTATAAAGGTTGTTCATAACCTTATAAAAATACTTTCAAATATTATAAACCGTTAAACCAAATAAGTTTTAAACTTAACTAACAATTAAAATATTAAAAGTATATAAATGCTACTTTTTAACAAAGACATTTTCTTAAATAAAAGGAGTTTATATTTGTATCTATTTTTATAATTTCTATGTATTTTTGAAATTATTTTATAAAGGTTTAAAATATAATAGTATACTCATTTAAACGTACGCAACGGAAAGTGATACTATATATTTAAAAACGATAAACTAAAAATCGTAAGGAGTAAACGACGTACTATATGTAAACCATCGCAATTTTAACAAATAAACTATATAAATATTAAAACCGTTTTATTAGGCTTTAAAAAGGTGTATTTTAAATAGTCGCGCTAACCTTTTAAAGTTATTGACCAGCCTTCAAACTATCTTAACAGATTAAAAAATATTAATTTTTTTTTTTGAAATATGCCGTAATAATACGAAGCGAGTTTTTTTTTATCTACTTAATATACGTTTTTGATACTCTTGCGAAGCCTTCGGATTAATTTGCTACTATTATAAACTAATAACGTTTTTTACCGTTGAATAAATCGATTTAATTCTTTATAAATTAACGAATATTACTATATATTTACAGGTACTTAAAATTTATACGGAATCCTTTATTATTAGAAAATCTTTTTAAAGTTTAACATTATTAAAAATATCCAACACTAATCCCGTAAAAAAAAGATATAAATATATCTTAATATTTAAAAAGGATATTACATAACGAACCCAATTTGACTATCTTTAACCTTTATATCTTTTAACCGAAAAAACGCCTTGTTATAAAGGTAATAATTACTTTAAAGCAAGTAATGAATTAAGAAGAAGTTAAAAGGCAGCTAAAAAAAGTATGAAAAAAAGCTAAAAGTCGTATAAGTGAAAATAGCGGTATGCTTGCCCCTTTTTAACAGCGTAATAAATTATATTAGAAAAGGCTTGAAAATCGTAATACTGAGTCGGGACAGCAATAACACACACAATGGGGCTGCTTGTATGATGGATATAAGATGGGGGAGGGAGAGGCAATGGCAAAGCCATGCAGTGAATTTGAAGGGTGTGTCACATAGAGATAATACGACGTGTGTGTGAACTGATCGCTCAATTATATGTGTTATAAGAGAGGAGTGGCTGTTCAAGAAGACAAAAGAAAGCAACGAAAAATGAATGGTGGCCTTTATATGTCACAGACCTGGCTGTACATGACATCAACCCTGCCCCAAAACAATACTTAAAAAACGCTAGCAAAGTAATATGATTATAAGCTAGCTACTTATAAAAAAGAAAACGCTAGTAAGAAAGGCGCTAGTAATATTCCAAGCGACTTTTCCGTGCATATAAACGAAAGCGATAACGAAGGTATTAAAAGCGAGAGATACGGCGAGATTGATAATAATAACTATATTATTATTCACGCGTAATATAAAACTAAAGTCGGCGGCAGTAGCATTATTTGTAAAAGAAAGAATAGCTATAAATTAACTATTTATAATAAAATACTTTTAGCTTTAATAAAAAACTATATATAAGTAAAAAATATATTTAAAACAAGTCGGCAAATAAAATCAGAAATAAAAAAGCAGCAGCAACTAAAACTATATATACTTAATACATAATAAGTTATTAAGTAAAAAAGAAGTAAATTTTCTAATCAAAATAATGAAATCGATAAACAATGCTTAAAATTCGCTAATTGAATACAGAATTATTATTAAAAATAATATAAATACAGCTATATAAATTTAACCTTGTTTTATATTAAATATTGTAATAGTAATTAAATAATAATAACACACCTTACAATTATAACCTTAGTAACCTTATATTTTAACAAGAAAGCTTTATAATTATGATAAATTAAGCGTTAAGTTGTTATACCGGTCGTATTAATCGCATTTTATCATAACCTTTCCATCGACGAAACGTGCTTAAAGAAACTGAAAAAATACGAAAATAATACTAATTAATTTGCCTTAACGAAATATATATAATATTAATTACACGATAAATATATTAACGTAGCTAGCTAATAGTGCTATTATAAACATATAGGTAGGTATTAACCGATTAAAGGAAAGATACGACGAATGCCTTGCTGTTATAGTAGGATGGGCGCTGTAAATATAGTAGGTAGGTGAATGGCTGGCTGTCAGGTGGTTGTCAGGTGGCTGACTAAGGTAAGGTGCAAATAAGGACTTTAGGTAAGGTGCAAATAGGAAGACTCATTCTAATTTAAGAGCAGCCTAGCAGTATGTGTGCCTCGATTATGATGTACTGTTGCTGACCTTTCGTATAGGCAAGCACACCTCCGGAAAAGGAGAGTGTTCTGGGCGTCGCTCGAACTGTTGGTGGCGCTATGGTGAAGTACGGGGACGGTGCCGTCGTCACAGCGATATTCTTGCCATCAGACTTTTCTACGGTGCAGATAGCTGGCCTCCCGCGAGATAGCACCGCAGACTCTGTCCGTGCTCAACTTCGGTCCTACGATCTCGAAACCTCGAACTTGAGGGATATTGTAATATTCCGTGAGGAACACTCCCCATCTGCCGTCATCAGGGTCAAAGATCCAGAATTTGCCAAATTGGTGGGTATCAAGCTCGGGACTCAGGTCACATGCAATCGAGGGTTTGTAGCCTCGGAATCTGGTGGCTTCCGCGTCGATTGCAAGACACTGCACTGCTCCTAGCATAAGACTTTCAAGACCGTATGGCTCAACTTCGGAACCTACGAGATCGCCAACAGGGTTGGTGAGGTATTCAAGGGAGACACTTACAAGATCAATGATCAGGTCGTCAAATGTGCGCCTCCGCCGCCATGGGATGCAATGTTTCGCAGGCAGAAGGTATGGACTGTCCGGTTGACCGATGTCCCGGCAGAAGCTACGGAGGCGGATGTCATCAACTCCATTCAGTCACGACGAGATAGACCGCGCAACATCGAAATCGGGGAGCCCTCATACAGCACTGACACTGCTACATCTTGCGCAAAGATCCAGTCACTCCTCACTGAGATAGGTGCACTTGAATGGTGGGAAATGACCCCTGACAGTGCTGGAAAACGGATGAAGGCGAAGGCCCGATTCCAATACGAGGATGATGCAAGGACAGCGGCCCAGAAATTAAACAACACAGCGCTGCCCTTCCACAAAGCAGCTCGACTTACGGTGCAACTGGTTTACGCCGCTAAGTTCAGGGTCTCAGCTCTCATTTCTGAGGCTATCCAGTCCCAGCTCAGAGCCAACATCAAGGGCTGGAAAGCTCAGCACCTTCGCTTCGTGGCATACGAGAATTCGAATCCGCCTAAATGGTATCGCGTGTTTAAGGTCGAAAGCGAAGTGGCCAAGGACGTGGTCGAGGCCAAGAACACCATCAGCAATATCCTCGCTGGCGTGATCGCACAAGTGGGCTCCTCCACTTTGTGGCAACCTTCGCGTCGCAGCCATGGCGCCCTTTCAGAAAGGCTATCACAGGCAGGAGCGCAAAAGAATGTGGTTGTTTTGCGAGAGAAGGCGAAGTCGCAGCTTCGGCTGTAGGGACGGCCAAAGGAATGCACGGAGGTTCAGGCTTTGATTGCTGCAATGCTGAAGGCGGAAGAGTATGAGGAGTTTTTCATCGAGCTTGACGCGAAAGCATTCCTCTGGGCCTGTCGAGGTGGTCTCAAGAAGCTCGCAAGGGAGCTTGGTTTCGACAAGGTGGACTTCGATCCCATCTCAACACCAAAGCGGATCATCATTACCGGCACTGCCAAGGTATATGAAGCTGCGATGGCCATCATGGAGAGCCGCACTCACCCGGAGAGCCAAGGCTCAAGCCCGGGCACGCAAGACTGTTCGGTGTGCTGGACCGAAGCTGAAAATCCGATACGCACCCAGTGCAACCATGTCTACTGTCTCGATTGCTTTGAGAATATGTGCACGTCGGCCACGACTCAAGGATACGGCGACCAAGATTATATGTGCAGGAGATTCTGGCAACTGTAAAAGGCTCTTATGTCTTGCGGAGTTACAAGAGTGCCTGTCCTTCGCGTCCCACGTGCGAGTGCATCCAGAGCTTTTCAAGTGCTGTCCCTCGGCAGACTGCGAATACGTCTACCGGGCCAGCGCAGGATCCCAGATGCATACCTGCCTCAACTGCTTCGTGCCCATCTGTACGAGGTGACATGCTCAACATGGGACTATGAGCTGCGCAGAGTACAAGGAAGTCTCGACCGGCGGGTACGCTGCGTTTGAGAGGCTCAAGAGACAGATCGGCATCAAGGACTGCCCTGAGTGCCGGAGGCCCCTCGAGAAGACTGACGGGTGCCACCACATGACGTGTCAGTGCGGCACACGCACCTACTAGGTTTGCTTGACAACTTTCGAGTCACCTAGGGCTTGTCTACAATCACATGAACGAGCGACACGGTGGAATTGGGATTGGGCTAGGTTATCTTCGAGTACCGTATTATGTCGTTCAGTTCCGTTTATCCGAGCTCTCGTCCCGTAAGGCTATGTCCATGTCCATGTCCTTTCTTCTCAACCTCCTTACCTGGCTTTCCACCCTATGGTAGAGGTGTTGCATCAACCTCATTCTGTAGACTTTGTATGCGTGTGTTTAGCTGCGTCTTCCCTGCGCCGCTTGAGTTCAGCTCTCAACCACTCGTCCTCAGCCTTGAGCGTCGAGTTTTGTGCAGTTAACTCTGCATCTCTGGCCTGACGTTCTAACAGCTGCTTCTCAATGAAATTTGTCCGATGTTTAGTCAACGCGTAGTCGACAGCCTTTTGTTGTATGCCACTTTTGTTTTCCTCAGCTTCTTTCTCGAACTTTATTTTCCTCTCTCGCAAAAAAGCCTCCTCAGCAGGGCTCATGTCTTGAGGATTTGTCGACATCGTGTGATTTCCCAAGGAAGGCTTTGGACTTCGTGTTCCCAACCCAGCAGATTGAGATATGGTATGGATGACGGAAATCAATTCAGGCTCTGCTAGGAGGCTTTGGAAAGGGCAAGTTGCGAATGAGTATCGATGGGCGACTGTGTAATGCCGAAGTTCGATGGTATCGTGAGTGTGAGTATAAGATGATCCAGTCTGGTCTGGCAAGTGGTGAAGCCCATATATATACCCAGGGGATGCCACGTGGGCGGCCTGCTCATCGTATCTGTGTACCGTCTTTCGTTGGTCCTGACCGTGAAGCCCCGTGTATGTAAGACCAACGAGCAACGCCCTTCGCCGGATCCGGCATGAGGACGTGTTGAAGCGAGTCAGGTGCTGGTCCAGGTTAAGTGCCTACTGCGGAGATGTGTAGATAACGTACATATAGGGTACCAACTGGACGCGGACTGGTGACCTGACTTTGTGCAAGTAGAGCTGCACGGGGGCTGGAACCATATGGGTGTAACAGTCGTTCGGTCGAAGTACATGGAACTTTCTTTGTCTGCCTCCCGTGCCTCAGACCAACCGAATGACTCAATCTGAAACCTGTATCTAGGAGCGCGTGAGCTACTCAGCTCCTTTGACCTCGACAGGCTGTCGACTTGACTGGATAGTTGGCTGTATGGTGATGTCCGTGACAAGGACAATGTGCAGCAACGGACACCAACACTTAGTCGTATGGCCAACATTGTTGGGTGTAATGTGCTGCATGCACCACGTTTTGGGTTGAATGTGGAGATCCGGGTTGCGATGTTGGTTCCATCGTGCGTGTCCCTTTGTTCTTGGGAATTTCGCTTCTCGCCTCGACCACCGATGTCGTACAGCCAACAAGCAACGCAAGACCTCGATGGAGGTGTACAAATTTGCAGTCGCCCACACATTCAAATCCAATTCTTCGCTCTACCATACAGTCACCTTTTCCATCATCATTTTTCAACTGACTCTCCCGGTATAACCGCGCTTCATTTCCAACAGACAATGTCACGATTTATTGATTTTATTATTAGGCTCCTCTACCGCAAGGGAATAGCCAAACCCAAATACGCTGAAATACAACAAAAAGCAGAACCCCAGTGGACAATGCCATCCCCACCTGATCAGCCTTCACCTACGGGTTATCCCCAAGACTCCCAGCACCCCACGCAGCAGACGAAATACCAGACCTCCGGGGAGGTGGAGAATCGTCTACAACTATTACGGGCTATGTCCGAAATGTTACATCTTCGAGCACCAAAGGATGCTGCAGTTCCCGCTATTTCGGCATTGCCAGATCCAAGTCGCCTCTCATCATATAGACCCATATGTGGAATTTCCGGCTGTGATGGCAGCATTTCGGCACACTCCAAGTGGTGATCCACTCTCCGATTTTCCATACAAGCTGTATGCTATATATGAGGCGACAGAACACTTGCTTACAAAGATGCGACTACTGGAGGAGTATTCGAGCACTGGACAAAAGCTTTTGAAGGAGATGAAGGAAGTAAAGGAACCTCAGGAGGCAGGGCAAAGGGATTAGATCAGAGACCTCGAGGCAAAGCTCAAGGATACCGAGGTGGAACTCCGACAAATCGGGGTGCGCATTGGAAAATGTTTTACCCAGGCAGAGAACATGCAAGCTACGTTGATAAGTGCATCACGACAGGCATCTTCATAGCAGGGTCCACGGCGTCTTCCACCCCAAGAGTTCCATCATTCTTTCAGAGTAAGCAGAACACGGTACCTAAACACAGCTTCTATGAATGAAGCAAAGCTCTCCTATGTTGACCTGTGAAGTTTGTTCAATGACCCGCAAACCCCAGGACTGTCATCTATACCTCCATATAATTGGGTGGCTCTTAGTAGCATTGACATTCTATCATACTTCGATATACTTGCCCTCCTCCATGTGGCATTGTTTTCCCTTCTCTCCTTACGTTTCCCGGCGACAGATGTAGATTCTATCATCCACCATTTCCATCAGCCTACTAATCACTCTGGTTGGGCGACGGCGAGCTCCGCCGAAGAGACCCACATCGGAAGAGGAGCGGCCTCCACTACCGGCATCCCAGGCCGAAGGAGCGATAAGACCACAACACTTGGTTGTCGTCTGACAAATTTGAAGAACATGTTGTATATAATCGTAAGGCTGGGACACTGAGTGTGAACAGTACTACCATCTCCTGTTCAACGCTTGACAACGCTCCATCGTTCCCTCATCACCAGCAGGAACGAGACTGGACATCTGCACCGCGCCGGAGAACATCTACGATGGGGCGCATAATCATCACCAATGCCACAATCCTCGCGCTGGATGAGAAGGACACATTCCTCTACCCAAGCTATCTCGAGATCCGCGACGACAAGATCTACTCCCTCGGCGATACTGCCCCAGACTTCTCGCACGATGGCTACACGGGCGCGACAGAGTCCATCGACGGCACCGATAAGCTCCTGATGCCTGGCCTGGTAGACCTGCACTTCCACACCTCCATAGCCAAAGGTTACGAGGACGACCTCCCGCTCTGGGAGTACCTGGACGAGATCTGGTATCCGGCGATCCGGGCCCTGACACCCGAGACGGCACGCCTCGCAGCACTGCACTCCTACGCCACGGCGTTGAAATCAGGGACCACGACGGTGAACGATATGTACCGACAACTGTCGTCATTGGCGTCTGCGGCAGAGCAGATCGGCATCCGCGCCGTGCTGAGCAACGACATTGCACTACCGGAGCACAGGCTTGACTCGGTCGCCGATAACATCGCTGCGTTCCGGGCTCATCACGGTTCGGCTGACGGTCGCGTTACCGTGTGGATGGGGCTCGAGTGGCTTCCGCTGGCAGACGAGGCTTTACTGAAAGAGCTAGCGAAGACGAAGCGCGAGCTGGGGACCGGCCTGCACATCCACCTCTGCGAATCCCGCTCCGAGCTCGCGGATTGTGCTACGCGTTACGGTGACAGAACGCCTATCCAAGTGGCTTATGACGCAGGGCTGCTTGGGCCTGATACCGTGGCTGCGCATTGCGTCCATCTGAGTGATAGCGACATCGAGCTCCTGGCCAAAACAAGCACCAACGTCAGTATCAACAGCGGCTCGAATGCCAAGGTCGGGAACGGCATTGCACGGCTCGGTGCTCTCGTCGATCGGGGCGTCAACTGCGGGATGGGCGTTGATGCTTGCGAGTGCCACAATAGTACCGATATGTTCGAGGAGATGAAGATCACGTCGTACATGCAGCGCGCCCTCCACGAGAACGCGGCGCTTGGGCGGTCGAGCCAGATGCTTCAGATGGCGACTGTGAATGGCGCGCGTGCCTTGGGCGTGGAGGCTGGTGTGCTGGCGGCGGGGAAGAAAGCAGATATAATCATCATAGATCTCAAGAAGGACATGATGTTTACACCTCTGTTGAAGGCGCCGACAGAGAGTAGGCGGAAGCAGCTGGAAAGCCATCTTGTATTTGGGTGCAACGGGACGGCGGTGCAGACGGTTATCGTAAACGGTCAGGTGGTCGTGCGGGATCGTGTGGTGCTGGGTATTGACGAGGAGGACATCAGATCGCAGATGGACCAAGTCTTTGCGGACCTGGTTGACGATATGGAGAGTAAGAGGATTCAGAGGCCGAAACATTGAGACCTAGCCGCTGTCCAGTACCCAGTGCATGTGTCCGAGATGTCTGGGAGCTGAATCTCACCCTCGTCATTGTTGGTGAGTGACCCAGCACTTGAGAATGGAACGCCATTGCCAGCTATCGCGAACTCATCGATAACTTGAGCTGAGTTTGAAGCCGCACCATTACTCTTCAGGGCGTCGCGCTCAGACATGTGTCCAATGCAGGCGAGTCGGGGCGGGCGGGTTCAACAGGGAGTTTCCGTCTCGATTGGTACGAGAGCAGTATGATTCTTCTTGTGAAGGACACGGCGATGCCTTCTGCCATTGATGTGCTTGATCCATTGATCCTCCGTTGGGAGACTCATATTGCATGCCTCGCAAAGTTTGACCTTGAACATGGGCTTGGATGACGTCTCGCTCGTCTCGAACGAGGCCAGGACTTCTCTTGCCGTGGTAGAAAGTTTAGCAGGTTTAGCCAATTCCTTACCCTCAAGGAAACGACCGCAAATCTCTGCAGCTGGCTCGAGAACATTGTGAGAGAACTTCTGCACATCAGTGCTATCTAGCAAATACAGGAGATCCATGGCATCGTGTTCTCTGAACGCTGGAATCGACTTGTGGCGAATCCATCGAAGCTGGTACTTCGCGTACTGTCTGGTTGCAGACCTCATCTCTTCTAGGCCTGTCTCTTTCAGCTTCTCTAGAGACTGTTGAGACTCTCCTCTTTTTTCACCCTCGAGGAATAGCTCCATCTGTTTATACCCAATGGATTGCCATATGCCTCGGGTACGTTCGATAGCTTCCCCCTGGTCGGCGCGCTGGAGGAGTCTATTGTGTAGGCCTCTGGCTTCATCCATTAGTCCAGCCTCGCCCATCTTAGATACTCTCTTGTTGAGTCGCTCTTTCAACACCTCAGGCTCGGTGTATACCCAGAAAACCAGCGACTCCCAGGGGCCTCTCTTAGGGGCGGAAGCATCTTTCGCTTGCTGCTGTTCAGCATATATATCTGATGCCCGCTTGCCTGTTGTAAGGTATATCTCCAGCGAACGCCGGATCTTACGTCGGTCATCTGGGTGCCAGCGGTCAGCCATTGAGGGATCGACCTGTCGGAGTCTTTCCAACATCACATTAGTAGGCGTATTGAGAATGGGAAACTGAGTAGTGTTTTCTTCTTCGAGGCGGTAAGTAGTGTCGTCCGACTCTTTGCTGCTTGATTCGACCAGGTTGCCCACAAAAAGGAGCGACTGGATGTAGTAATGAGTGCCGCCGACCACAATGGGCAGCTTCCCTCTGCTACGGATGTCTCTTATGAGCTTGTTCGCTTCCCGCGCGAACAGCCCATTGGTCCATGTCGGTTCAAGTGGATCAATCTTGGCTAGTAGGTGATGCGGGATGCCGCGCTGCTCTTCGGTGGAGATCTGGTTGGTGATAACAGGAAGCCCCCGGTACATCTGCATGGCATCGGCATTGATGATCTCTCCATTGTATCTAAGGGCCAAGTCTATCGCCAGCTGAGATCAGGTCAGTGTGAGTGCAAAGGAAGTGAGCAAGGGCACTCGACTCTCATGGCCGGGGCTTACATCGGACTTTCCAGTGCCGGTGGTGCCCATGACGGCAACCAGGGGCTCCTTAGGTACGCGCACTGCCGCCATTCTTGGGGCATATCTTTCATGCAGTCATGAGACCTGATGGAGGGATTGAGTCGTTCTCTTTGGCAAATAGCGAATTGCCTTGAACACTTTCATGATGGGAAGACAGCTTGGTATTCCAACTTTTCGTGTCGCCTGCGACGGGGACAATGGATTTGGCACGCTTGAAAATCATTTCAATGAGACGCACGCAAGCCACACTGGGCAGCACATTGGACTTCCAACTGTGGCTGCGGCTGAATGACCTGACCAATGATGGCCCTGGAACAATAGGAATGAATTTGGTTTGGTTGGTGCCCTAGCACGAGCCTCCATCAGTGGGATTAGGGGTCCAGCTCGGCAGCTCCAAGTCACGTGCCGTAGCCCCTGGTCCCAGTTTTCGCTCCACTCGTCGCAATTGGGGACACATCTTTCAATGGGCCATTCAATGTTCTGATGCCAGATCTTGTCTTCCCATCAGCTCCCGATCTTTTCTCCTTTCCATCCTACACAGTTCGCGACAACCTCAGCACCATCCCGGGGGCATCTTGTCGCTTCTTCCCCTTCTGTACCCCATTGATTCTTCCACTCCTTCGACATCATGAGTAGCCTCAGGTTCCTCGATCTTATAAAACCCTTCGTGGCTTTCTTGCCCGAGGTTCAACAGCCCGAAACCAAGGTGCCGTTCAATCAGAAGTGAGCTTCCATATTCATAGCCAGCCACCCAACAGCACTTGGGTCTCGTGCGACTGACGCGACTGACAAAATCCCCAGGTTGATGTGGACTGGCCTGACGCTGTTGATCTTCCTGGTCATGAGCCAGATGCCACTCTACGGCATTGTTTCTAGCGACACCTCCGACCCTCTGTATTGGTTACGTATGATGATGGCTAGCAATCGGGGAACGCTGATGGAACTGGGTATCACACCAATTATCTCGTCTGGCATGGTCTTCCAGCTCCTCGCTGGCACCCACCTGATCGATGTCAACCTCGATCTCAAGTCCGACCGCGAACTGTCAGTAGCCCTCCCCGTGACAAACAGCTTCTCGACCGAATACTTACACCCTGGTCGTTAAAATAGATACCAGACCGCTCAGAAACTCTTCGCATTCGTCCTCTCCGCCGGTACCGCCACCGTCTACGTTTTCACCGGTCTCTACGGGCCCCCCTCCGACCTCGGCGCCGGTATCGTCTTCCTCCTGATCCTCCAACTTGTCATCGCCGGCATGATCGTCATTCTTCTCGACGAGCTTCTGCAGAAGGGATATGGCCTTGGTAGCGGAATCTCCCTCTTCATTGCCACCAACATCTGCGAGTCCATCATGTGGAAGGCCTTCTCGCCCACTTCGATCAACACCGGTCGTGGTCCCGAGTTCGAGGGAGCGGTTATAGCCCTATTCCATCTGTTGATGACTTGGCCCAACAAGCAGCGTGCTCTCCAGGAGGCTTTCTACCGACAGAACCTTCCCAACATCATGAACCTTCTGGCCACCCTGGCTGTCTTTGCCGCGGTTATCTACCTACAGGGATTCCGTGTCGAGATCCCCGTCAAGTCTTCCCGCCAGCGTGGTGCTCGTGGCTCCTACCCCGTCCGTCTTTTCTACACTTCCAACATGCCCATCATGTTGCAATCCGCTCTCTCGTCCAACATCTTCCTTATCAGCCAGATGTTGTACTCGCGTTTTGGTGACAACCTACTTGTCCGCCTGTTCGGTGTTTGGGAGGCCAAGGAAGGAACTGCTCAGCTTTCAGCGATCTCTGGACTGGCCTACTACATGTCCCCTCCGTTGAATTTCCGCGATGCCCTCCTCGACCCGATCCATACCGTTGTCTACATCGCCTACATGTTGAGTGCGTGTGCCATCTTCTCCAAGACGTGGATTGAAGTTTCTGGTTCGAGCCCTCGGGACGTCGCCAAGCAGTTGAAGGATCAGGGTCTTGTGATGTCCGGACATAGAGACCAGAGCATGGTACGTATCAAAGTCCTTCCTCCGCCACCCCCTCCCCAACTTGTCGAAGGAATCAAATATTAACATGCACTCAGTACAAGGAGCTTAAGCGCATCATCCCGACCGCTGCCGCATTCGGTGGTGCATGCATTGGCGCACTGTCAGTCGCCAGTGATTTGATGGGCGCTCTCGGCTCGGGTACTGGTACCCTTCTTGCTGTCACGTAAGTAACTCGCCATTATTTTCGGTCGAGACGCGTCGCTAATATCATGCAGTATCATCTACGGTTACTTCGAGATCGCCGCGAAAGAAGGCGACCTCGCTGGCATGAAGGGGATGATCATGGGTTAATCTCCGACAACTGCTGGGCCCAAACTCCTACGCAAAACCGCTGTGACGGCAGGACAGCAATAATCTGATTCCATGCTGTGTGTAATACCAAAAGGAACTAAAAAGTCATGTGGTTTCAGCGGGCTGGCGAAACTTGGAAATGCATCGACGGCGGTCTGCGGTCATTCGTACCTGGGCTCACCGCAAGGGTTACTTGACGGCGGGATGTATTTACTTAGGTCTACGTGATAATATCAGGAATAAAAGTGAGACCACTATATTATCAAGATGAATCCCTTTTGCACAGTGAATGATTTACTGGAGACAGCTATACTGTGCCCGAACACGTTCCAGACCTTGTCTCGGGACAAGACGTCCATACCGCAAAAGGGGGAAATAGAGGAAACACAGCATCTATTACCCCCTCTAGAAAGCTGCATTCAGTGGCTCCTAGGCCCAGGATTACCTGAAAGGTTCTCTATACACCAGCTCTATGACAACTGGAAGCTGTGATATCAGTGCAAAATGTCCAGTCTCGGGAATTGGTCTATCAAGACATGATTGAGGGCCGAGATGCCCGCGTATTGCTTAGCGTCCACATTATAAATGTTGCAATCTCGAGGGGTGGGATGCTGCCAGTCAACGGAGGGATGCCTAAGAGCCCGTCGCCTCCAGACGCGAGGTTTCTTCCATTGAGGTACTGACGATCCAGTGATGGGTATCAAAGCGCAAATGCCGGTCGCGAACGACGGTTGACTACACATTCCGGCCTCAGCTTCCTCCTAGAAGGTTCGCGGATTGGTATAGGATCTCGGCTACTCTGACCTCCTGGTTCGTGGTGACACGCTTACTCTTCCCACTCGCTTTCTTCGCTGTTACATCACACTGTAGAGACAGCTACTGGCTATTATGGGCATGATCTGTCCCAGAGGTGGTGGTATGCCATGAATAAGTAATGAAATTATGACCCTGTCTAAAGAACTACCGAAACGACATCCATTGGCCCAGTTGGAGTCTAATGTGGACATGTGGAAAGGAAATAATGGGAAGTATTACCGGCTCTTGCCTCTCTCAACCCCATTACGCCACTGCTTGACACCCACTCCTCGCTTTCTTCGCCTTGGTCGGTTCAACGCTTGCTGTGCTTGCGATGCTTGCCTTCGTCCTTGGAGCGTTCCTTCTCTCTGCCCTTGGAGCTTTCTTTCTCCTTGCCCTTGGAGGAGCTTTCCTTCTCTTTACCCTTGGAGGAGCTTTCCTTCTCTTTGCCCTTGGCGCGATGCTTGTCGGAACGATGCTTGTCGATGCTCTCGGAGCGTTCCTTCTCTTTGCCCTTGGGACGATGGTTGTCTCTGCTCTTGGGGCGTTCCTTGTCTCCCTTAGAATCGTCCTTGCCTCCCTTGTTATGATGCTTCCTTTCGGAATGCTGATGTCCTTCCTGGCGGCGACTTCCCTCCGGGTGGTGGCCCCCTCCTGTGTGAGGCTCCTTGCCTGGGCGATGCTCTCGGTTCTCTTTGCTGGAACGGTGCTTGCTGAAGTGGTGCTCCTTGCTGGAACCGTGCTCTTTATCTGAGCGGTGCTTTTTGCTGGAACCTTGCTCTCTTCCTGAACGCCCTTCTACCCCTAAAGGTTCTCCTCCTGGAAACTGCGCTCCACTTGGGAGGTTTTCGTCTTCTGGAAGGTCTTCTGAAGAGTAATCTTCTGAGCGAGATCCCTGTGGGAGGTATGTTCCTTCCGGGAGATTACCTATTCCTTCGAGGTTGTCGTCTCCAGCGAGGTCATATCCTCCTGGATTGTGTGGACCCTGTGCGAGCCAATTCTCCTCGCGTGCCCTCGAGCCCCTGCCCTTTTTCAGTCTCCGTCGTCCCAATCTATCCCTCCGGCTCGCTTTCCCTTTTCCTCCGCTCTCTGTTCCGCGTCCGACAATCCTGGATATAGACCGCCCGGCGCCTAACCGATGAGTATATCCACGATGAAGAGGAACAATTCACACCATTCCGACGAGTGGGCTCCTCTGGCACCGTGGTCGGGCGCAAGATCGAGGGCGTAGTCTTCGGCGAACATGAAGAGGTATGCGTGTGCCATCTCGTGAGCCAGAGTTCCAATGTACTTCCCAACGCTCAACTCCTCGTCGACGTAGATTCGTATGAAATTGTCCTCATGTCGGAATCCTCCGCGTAGGCGCCCTGATGCAGGTTTCTTCATGACTTTGAGCCTCACGAGACGGAGAGGTTCCTGATCAGGTTTGGCCCTAGTATAAACCCTTGTAAGACCGAAGAAGAAAACGTCGTCGAGTTGATTGCAGACGATTTTGAGCTGTTCTTCCATAGTCTTAATCCCTCGAACCTCTTCCTCAATCCCCCTCAGCGTATCTCTCAGATCTAGGACCGGTCCGGAGTCAGGGTCGGTTGCCTCCGGGAAATGTTCCTCCACCAGCTGGCGAAGCTCTCTCTTGGAATATTGTTCCTTGTTGAACCCGTGTTGCATTTCAGACAGTGGTTTGTATGCCTCTGCCCTTCTCTTCAGGGCTCTGACCATTTTATCCGGTTCTGATGGTTTCATGTTGATTGAGATTCGGGTGCAGGTAAGGGATATATCAAGAAGTGCGATAAGGTCTGAATCTCGAAGAAGCGAATACCAATGTAGAAGTTACACAACTCAAGTCAGTTTTGTTTGTTTGTTTGTTTGTTTGTTTGTTTTGTATTTAACGTGGGGGGTAGCTCCTCAGTAGTGCAGACCACGCCTCCCAGAGCCTCTGCATCGCAGGGTTGTGGAGGTCTCAAGAAAATAAGTACAGTCAGTCCCGCTCACGGGCCCATCCCCGTTGTTGCGGCGGTATGACCTTGGGGTCATCCATCTGGTCCTTCAAGAACAGCTATCTATCGGAGACAGATTGTTGAAAAGAAGTCAGTTTTGATGCTAGGATATTGGTCTATATATGTCCTTTCGGTAGTATCAAAGTAGTCTGATGCTATCACAGAAGGGTGCAGGCAATCTGGCATATCGTGACCGGACCAAAATTGAGTCACAGAAGAACTGCCACCCATTTTCATTCATGAATAGACTCGAGTGACAGCGCAGGCTGTGATTCACAAGCTCGAGAGTCTGGTACTCACTCTGCTTTACATTCCGATTCCTGCACAACACACTAGATCACAGTGTTATAGTCTGCCTCCAAACCACAATCGTCTTATATCACACAGACATTCTGACTCAGAGGCTAGTGAATACGGCGAACTCGAGTCCTCGTGATGTTTGAATTCACGTTACTAACGGACAAGCACTCGAATCAGAGGCCATCTCATGGTCAACTCAGCTATGAATGACAGGGAAAGCAGCTGCTTGGTTTTGAAGGTAATCAACCAGTGAATTGTGATACCAGTCACTTCATATTCTTTGTTGCCCGTGTTGGCCATTGGCTGAGCTGAGCTCCCCAGTACTGGGCACAGTCCGGCATCTTTGGCCCCAAAACATCACCTCGAGGCTATAAGCAAACGACTATTAGTGCAGTATCTTCGCAGGTACTACCTTACTTTGGAAGTACATCATTGTCCGCGCAATGTCGATAGATGGCCCAGCGATCATACTTATCTCTCCTCTCGCTGGCAAGGTACTCAGCCACGTTTGGTCTGACCCCGACGTCTTAACACAGCTGGAAACCCGAGATCTGCCTTCAGCCTGACGGGGTCATCCATTGTGAGCAATGCAGTATCTTTCTACGAGGTACCGACTTCCTCGAGGTTTACTCGAAGGTTAGGCGGACAGGGCGCGGCGATGCTGATCAGCGGTGTAGTAAGGTGACGATGAGTGTGAGCATTGTTGTCTTTGGTCTTCGATTCGAACGAAGCAGAGAGAGGCCGGCACACCAACGTGCGGAGGGATAGTCCGTTCTTTCTTATGAGATGAAGTGGGGTCGGTATGTGAGGCTGCCGCGTGTCGTACCACTAATTCCCTGTCATCCTCCTCACGCTCCAAGCAGGACACGTGATGTAACCCATCCTCCATCCCCCAGTGCGGTTGGCCGTACTCGATTCTTCCTTGGCCCGCGAAGGAACTACCTCTGAGCGAGTAAACATGATTGCGCTCAAGCCAAGGTGGCCGGACTGGAGCAGCTATAATGTAACACGCCACCCAAGAGGTGGGAAAGACACGGTAATGGTGAGGCCTCTAAGATGAAACAGATCAGGTCACCGCACTCCTACCTCCAACAGGTGTGGGAAAGGAAGCCACCAACAGTCAACAGGGAGGTTTACAGCGCATTCGAATAAGGAGCTGGAATCGGAAGCATGATGACAAATGGGCTCCTTCGATGTTACATCGGACCTCTCCAGTGTAGCTACCCGAGCCAACCGCCACTCAATCAGCTGGCCAACATACATTTACCCCTCATTTCCATTCTGTGAGGACAATTCCTGCACTCCGAACAGTTGCTGAGAAACATCCACTTCGTATACCCACCCACAACACGGGATTGTTGGAATATGGACCCCGTATCGCCCGTTTCGCTTACGAATGAGTGCCTGAGCCTGATCAGCGCAATCACCAAGATCACCGTTACGATTCCTGGCTTCATTCGCAAGTGCCGGGATGCAAGGGGCGATCTGGTTGCAGTCAGTGGCGACCTATCCCAGCTCGCAACGATCCTCGAAATTTACAAGCATGACTCGAGCGTTATGGACCATGAAGCGGTGCCGAGAAATCTCCAAGGGTCTATCCAATCCATCATGAGAGAATGCTTTAAATATCTGGAAGAGTTCGATCAAGTGCTCGCGGAGGCGACGAAGAGCAACGGGCTCGTTGGGGTTGTTGTCATGTGGGTTAAGGACAGCGAGAGTAGAGTGGCAAGCATCTGCAGCCGTCTGAGCTCACGTCGGCAACTGCTGAGTTTCACAAACGACCTGATTCACATGTAAGTGGTCGTACTTGTCCTGCAACCCTATTTACTGCTCACAGGTACAGGTCGCTGGCCAAATCGATCAAGACACGACCAGTCTCCGCGAAAGTGTTGTGATCTTGCAGAGCCAAATCCAACGGCTCTTTGATCAAATCGCAAAACAGAACCAGAGCACACTCGTTATCGACGACTTCATTGCCTCTATTGAACCATACGCCGAGAGTGTGATGGACGACCTCGAAACCAGGCCCAAGATCGAGGAAGGTGTGCCCGTAACAAGCCGCGGAAATACTATGCCTGCTACCCGGGAACTTTCCAAGGCTGTTCCCATTGCCTCGCCATCCAGCCTTGAAGGTTACAACGTCCCTGTTGATTGCTCCAGAGCTTCCGGACCAGTCGATGTCGCATCGCGGCAGACCACAGAAATAGCCCGAGGCCAGGGATTGACAGGTGTTCCCTCTCTCGTCATACAACCTGCGGGAACCTCAAGCTACGGCGATACCTGCAACTCCAAGGTAATTGCTATTTATGTTTATCCGCCTCTCCAGAGATATCAACTAACCGTATGATGCAGAATCACCCCTCGCAACGCTATTCCGAAGACCTCACAGATCTAAACGATGGTTTTGATTCAACAACCTTGGGACCTGGAAGTGTAACTTCCATCAGTAGGATGGGCTCGCCAACACCAGATTCGATCTTCAACTCATCCACGTCGCCATCCATAGGTTCAGTCAAGACTCCAGCATCTACGTGGGCTGGGGGGCCACCCAGCCCTGCGTTTGCAGATGCCGCAAAAGTGCCTGCGCAAAGGCTCGTTGCCCAGCCTTTGCCGCCCCTGGTCTGCGGAGCTAACATTGTCTCCTTGGAAACGTCCTATAATGGGAATAGGGTGACAACACTTACCCAACAACACCTCTTCTCGGTTGATCTTTCCGCAGATGGTAATGTACCTGAGGTTTCCAGGATAAGCCTTAAAACCGACAAGATTCCATACAGGGTCCAGACATGCATGTGGGATCCTCGTTATATGTTCGTTTGGAGCTGGAAGAGTAACGACGAACGTCTCCGCAGAGTCAACAGATCAGCAGTCGAGTTGTTTCACTTGGAGCTGGGGAAGAGAATCAACAAATGCGACTATACCATTTCCGCGGCAGTTGTCCAAGCAAGGGACCGCTCAAAAGGAGTACCTGAACGGACCTCCGTTATCTACAGAGTGGTGCCACACTGGAACAGGGACGATGCCTTCAGAGTAACGAAGACACCCAGGAGACACGGACGGGGAACTACGTGAATGGTGGGACTATACAATAGCGAGCAACCGGGAGCAAGTGGCTATTTATGATCATTCCCCGATTGCTCATCAGGTGCTCGTGTACAGAGCTAGTGATGTCGTAGATGTCGAAAGCTTTGCCGACAGGCACTACTTCGCTGTGTCTACGTGCAGACCGAGACCCCCAGCGACGTTTTACACCGACGAATATACTTCGGAATCGCGTCACCAGGAACAGAAAGTCATTCATTTCCAGGTCAGCCCGAATGGGCGGTACATATTACTCATTCGCCAGCCGAGGAGGTCAAAGAGTACGAGTGAGCATACGCCGGTGGGCGAAGAAGTCGACCCATCTCAAACGCCGGTGCGCGAAAAAATCTACCCCGATCTCTCGAATCGACCTTCTACACCTCCAGGTTCAAGTTCCACCACAGATGGGATACTGATAACTCGAATCGAAGTGGAGACTGAATCCGTCCAGACATATGTGTTTCGGCCTCGCGTATGGAGCTTCAGCGAGGGAAACTTCTCAGTGACACAGGACTGCCGGTATCTGGCTTACGTCAATGCTCCAACAGTCCGCATCTTCGACATTGTGTCCAGAAAGGGCGTGCTGGAAATCCAAGATGAGGACTTGGTACCAGGGGTTCAGGCGCCTCTCGTCTCTTGCAGCCATGGGGGGGATAAGAATATCCTCGCTGTCGCTGTAGGTAACATGGTGAAACTGTGGGAGATCAACGATAAAGCCGAAGAGGGGAAACAGGAGGAACGCACTCGCAGCGTGCCAGATAAGTGACGACCCTTTACGTGTCATGGCACTAGATGACAGCCCCATAGCCCCACGGGCCAACCCCTATATATACCTGCTCCTGTCTCCTAGCTAGCTTTATAGTTTCTTTCCTTCTTTAGGTACATCAACAAAGTCATTTCTACAGTCACCAGCAGCCGAACTGTGACACAAGGACGGGTAGTTGAGACTTAAAAAGTCGAACTTAGCTTCGATTCCTATCAGCGCTAGCTGGTACTTTTGCTTTTGGCTCATCTCGGGTGGCTGGGACATCGTAAGGGCAGGCTCTCATAAGGATTAGGAAGCTTGAGCTGTTATGGTTAAACTGCCTGCCTGTGGCAATACCGGGGTACTTTTCCGTGCCGGAGTATTTGATGGATCGCAAGGTGAACTGGAAAGTCGAGGCTGGTGGTTGGTATGAAGCTGTCCACACTAGTAGTCCATAGCAATGACGAGGCATCGGGCGCCGGCCTCAAGATGCTGAATTACAGAGAACATATCACATGTACTCTACTTCCTACTGTATTATTGATTGTTACAAGTGGTGGTGGAAGCTCGGGGTCACTGTTTGGATCTCAAAATGGCAACTGGCTCGAGACTGAAGCGATGTCGGGAGAGACTTCGAGATGTCCGGATGTGTTAATGTAGAGCCGGGACCCTTGCCATGCCTTGCATTAGCTCTCATCTTTAAATGTGACACAGTGGGTGATGCGGCCAATCAGAAGTACCGTACAGGTGCTGGTGTCGAGGTTGCGAGGATGCGGGTGAGATGACCCCATGACGAAGTGGTGAGCTTGGTGAGACCCCTCCAGAAGATTGAAGCATACCTAATGTCTATTCCTCACCGAAGCCCATGTGTCTTCCCTGGTGTTGAGGTTCCCTTTTGCCTGAAGTGTGTGGACAACCAACTGAGTCATTCGAAGGTTGAAACAGAAAGCGGCCTATCCATGTTGCCATGAGTTGTAAATGTAGATTGTGAGGGACTGAGCAGGTTGTTTCATGATCGCGGTTTGTTTGTATTACATGTAACAAGCTGCACACTAGGAAGAATAGTCCACGAGCTGAGTGCTCTGACGCCCACAAACGATAGATCGCCGGACATAAAGATACGAGCTTCACTACGTATGGATTGATTTGACTATGAAACACCTAACGCTTATCACTGAGCATACACCCGGAGTCGACTGATTCTAAAAGTCACGATGCATGCACCTGCAAGTTCCAATACTGCCTCGGGGCCAATCACGGTGCGAGTGATGATCTATGTACGTGCTGGATTGCACTTCACAGTGTGAGATGCAGCGGGCGGGGCGACCCGGCTGCTGGATCACCCCCACAATACACGCTGTAGTAATGGGAGAGAGACGGAGATGGAAAAGGCAAACCGTGACGACGGATTGAGATTGTCTTGTCGTGCTCGATGGCCCTCTTTAATGCAACCTTTTTCCTCACCTTCGCATCAGCACCCAACCGCCGCATTCTCTTCGTGCCAGCCCCGGTCGCCCGCCCGCCCGCCACACACGCACGCGACAACAGCGAAAGCAACAGAGTCTCAAATGCTAGACCGTAGCTCGCTCGCTCCTCCCGCCTATCTCCTCGTCTGAACCCGAATACCAGCCCATCGCACCGGTCCGTCGACTATAGCCAGTCTGGTGATATCGCCAGATTTGTCGCGCCGCTGGGATGAGTGGGGTTGGTGGTTTCGGCCGAGGTGGCAGCAACATGGGCTTTGCCTCTTGTTCGTGGCCGATATGGCGCATTGATGACTTCACCACGTGCTTCCAGTCCGAGTGAGTAACCCCAGCCCCCCAACAGTGCTCCCGTTCTGCATTGCCTTGCCTTGCCTTGCCTCGTCTGGCCCGGCCGATCCGCAATATCAGAGAGCAGGCAGGAAGAACCGGGCCGAGGCACAGCGTGTGTCGCGTGGGCGTGTGCGCGCGTGCCTTATATGCTTGGACTGACAGCCCTGCTTGTGTAACAGCTACCTCCAGGTCCTATTCCCCTTGATCGTAATATGTCTATCCGTCTTCCATCTCGCCGTCCAGAGCATCTACCGCAACGTCAAGTTAAAACGAGCAGACGGCTACGACCAACTGCCCAACCACCGAGATCACACCGACCTGCCACCCGAGGAGGAAGAATCGACGAATACGGGCGAAGATGAGGGGCTCCTTATCAACGCGAATGGTGCCGGTCGTTTGGCCCTCGTCAAGACTACCACCAAGGGCTCCATCGTTCAAGCCGATGCGCCGCCGGGGAGGGACATATTGGTCGTCGTCGAAGAAGTCGCTGTCTGCGGCCTGATAGCCGTCAATGCCATTGCTCTTGTGACAGAAACATACGCTGGCCGTGGTCGGTGGGCAGCCCTCATGGGCATTGTAACCTGGGTCTACGTCTTGGTCCTTGTTACGCTGAGACTCTTTCTCGGGAACACGAAGTGGCGAGTTCCACGCCTTTGGAACCATACCGCCTCCATCTACGCATTACAATGGCTGTTCACACTGCCCATATTTCGTTCTGCCCTTATCCATGCCAGCTCCAAGCGGACGGAAATTCTGGTCATTGTCGGCTTCTCCTTGACGACGTTGCTTTTTGGCATTGCCGTCACTACTAGGAAGGGGAACAAGACGGTCATCTTGGAATGGGAGGATGACATCGAACCGTCGCGCGAACCCCTCGCTTCTCTCATATCAATCGCATTTTTCGGTTGGATTGACCCTATGCTCTGGCAAGGCTACAAGGAACCTCTTGAGATGAAGGACGTGTGGAACTTGCTACCGCGCGACAAGGCTGCTGCTGCTCTTGCCAACTATCGCCAGGTCAAGAAGACGACGTCACTTGCGCTACACCTGGCTGGTCATTTTAAGGCCATGCTGCTCATGCAGTGTCTCTGGGCCGTGCTGACGGGTGTACTGACCTTTGCTCCGACACTGCTTCTGAGGGCCATCCTGGAGTATGTCGAAATGCCAAGCGTAGCACCCAAGAACGTCTTGTGGCTTTATGTCGTCTTACTTCCCGTGTCGGATATGCTGCGGTCAGTCTGCAGCAATCAAGCACTATGGATCGGCAGGACAATTTGCATTCGGATTCGTGCCATCATCATAGGGGAAATATATGCCAAAGCTCTTCGGCGCAAAGCGGCAAGTGGCAGAGACACGGTTCTCGGCGACACAGGTAAAGAGGGCGGCAATGAGACCAAATTGCAGAGACTCAAGAGGTTCTTTGGACTCAAGAAGAACGATGCCAAGAAGTCAAGCCCACAAGATGCGGATGTTCCTCAGAAAGACGCCGCCAAGAACCCTGACGAACAAGCGAACCTCGGGACCATCATCAATCTGATGTCTGTCGACAGTTTCAAGATCTCTGAATGCACGGCCTACTTGCATTTCCTCCTGGCAGAAGCCCCTACTATGCTCATTGTTTCCATCGCCCTTCTGTGGCAAGTTCTGGGCCTGAGCGCTATTCCGGGACTGATCGTCATGGTTTTTCTTCTTCCCGTGAACATCTTGCTTGCCAAGGGCTTCAGTTATACCCAAAAGAAGATCATGGCTGCCACCGACAAGCGAATACACACTACCAACGAGATCCTACAAAACATTCGAATTATAAAGTATTTCGCCTGGGAGCAACGGTTTGGGGCAATTGTGGACGAGAAGCGCATTGTCGAGTTGAAGGCGCTAAGGGCGAGATACATGGTCTGGGCACTTGCTGTTGCTATTTGGAATACAGTGCCAGTCCTGATCACGTTCTTCTCTTTCCTGGTCTACACCAAGATCGAGGGAAAGCCGTTGTACCCCTCTGTTGCATTCACGTCTATTTCCCTGTTCATGCTCTTGAGGATACCTCTGGATCAATTTGGAGATATGCTAGCTCACGTGCAGGAGTCCAAGGTTTCGGTCGACCGTGTCGAGGAGTTTTTGACCGAAGACGAGACAGACAAGTACGAGCAACTCGGGGACGACAACGTGGATGACGAGGGCAGCAAGGTGATTGGTTTCAGAAAAGCCAACTTCATCTGGGGTAGCAAGGACGCCGTGGCCGCCGATGGTTCTACAGCCTTTCGCCTGATGGATCTGGACGTGGATTTCAAAATCGGCAAGCTCAATCTTATTGCCGGTCCCACAGGCTCTGGAAAAACCTCAATGCTGATGGCCCTACTTGGTGAGATGACCCTCACGAAAGGAAAGGTCTACCTTCCAGGTGGTCACAGCCGCGAAGACGTCCGACCGGATCCAGCCACGGGGCTAGCTGAGACTTGCGCCTACGTCGCACAGGCCGCTTGGTTGGTCAACGCCAACATCAAGGAAAACATCTTGTTTTCGGCGCCATACGATGAGAAGAGATACAAAGAGGTCTTGGTTGCCTGCGCTCTAGAAAGGGACCTCGAGATTCTGGACAATGGCGACGAAACGCTGGTTGGGGAAAAAGGCATCACCCTTTCCGGTGGTCAAAAGCAACGTATCTCCCTGGCTCGTGCGGTCTACTCGAACTCCCGACATCTACTTCTCGACGACTGCCTCAGCGCTGTCGACTCGCATACTGCCAAGTGGATCTTCAACACATGCATTAATGGTCCACTCATGACAGGCCGAACATGCATTCTTGTCACCCACAATACCACCCTTTGTGCGCCCTCGGCTTCGTACGTCGTGCTACTGGATAATGGCAAGGTTGACGCTCAGGGACCATCCAAGGAGCTGATCGCATCGGGTAAGCTTGGCGAGGAGCTTCGCAACAAATCTCGACCGAACTCTTCACATGTCTCACGCATCCCATCCCGGGTACCCTCCAATGTAGGCGAAGAAAGTGGCGAAACTTTTGTTGACGACGGTGGGCATGGCCTTGCCAACAGCAAGTCTGCTGATAAGAAGGCCGACCCTCAGGAGGACGCCTTGCAAGAAACCAAGGCCACTGGAGCAGTCAAATGGCCTGTGATCAAGCTGTATCTTGGCTCAATGGGCCCTTGGTGGTTCTGGGTTATTGCCGTGACTGTCTTCAGTGCCCAGCAGCTGGGCGGCGTCGCATCGAACCTCTGGATCAAAGAATGGGCCAATCAGTACACCACTGGCACAGAGAAGATTTCGAGCATACAGTTCAGCGTATCTTCGCAGAATCCTGCCAGCCCATCGAGATACCTCACCTGTTACGCCTCGATCGCTCAATATGTGAAAAGCGCGTCGTTCGTCTCGCTTACTACGCCTGCAGACTACTCGGCGGCCAATGTCCCAGAGGTTAACGTCGACTACTATCTTGGTATTCTTGCCCTGATAGGACTCGCTGGCGCATTCCTTGCGCTTGTCCGGGATCTGTGGGTTTTCTTCGGCTCACTGACCGCTTCGTGGAAGATCCACAATCGATTGGTGTCATCTGTCGCAAGGGCAAAGTTCAAGTTCTTCGATGTGACGCCGCTAGGGCAGCTGATGAATCGGTTCAGCAAGGATCTCGAGGCGGTCGACCAGGAAGTGGCACCGGTTGCCATCGGTGTCATGACATGTGCCATGGGTATCGGCGTCACGGTGGTCCTCATAGCTGCCATTACACCAGGATTTCTCATCGCCGGTGTTTTCATCACTGCTCTCTATGTCCTGGTTGGCATGTTCTACCTGCGAGCGTCACGAGATCTCAAGCGACTCGAATCTGTGAACCGAAGTCCGCTCTTTCAGCAGTTCGGCGAGACACTTTCAGGAGTCACTACAATCCGCGCATACGGTGACGAGCGGAGATTCATAAGGGACAACCTGCTCCGGATTAACAAACAGTCTCGGCCGTTCATCTACTTGTGGGCCGCTAACAGATGGCTAGCAATGCGGACGGATCTCCTTGGTAACCTGGTCACATTCTTCGCCGGTGTCTTCGTAATTCTCAGCCTCGGCAAGATCGACGCAGGCTCCGCCGGTCTGTCTTTGTCCTACGCCATTGGGTTTTCCGATAACATTTTGTGGCTCGTGCGATTGTATGCCATGAACGAGCAGAACATGAACTCGGTAGAACGAGTGAAGGAGTATCTGGACGTGGAACAAGAAGCTGCGCCAATCAACGAGAAGAACCGTCCCGCCGAGAACTGGCCTGCTCATGGTGGCGTCGAGTTTATCGGCTACTCGACCAGATACCGCAAGGAGCTCGACCCCGTGCTGAAAAACGTCACGTTCAAGATACGACCACGAGAGAAGGTTGGCATTGTCGGCCGCACTGGCGCCGGAAAGAGCTCTCTCACCTTGGCAATATTCCGCGCGCTCGAGGCAGACTCTGGTAAGATACTGGTTGATGATGTTGACATCGGCATGATCGGTCTCCAAGACCTCCGGGAAGCAATCACCATCGTCCCTCAAGATCCGACTCTGTTCACTGGCACTATCCGAACAAACCTCGATCCGTTCACGTTGTATAGCGACGAAGAGGTCTTTGCTGCCCTACGAAAGGTCCAGCTCATTGGGCCATCCGAACCTCTGCCGGCCTCTTCTACAGATGCAGCACAAATACTGCTTCCCACCACACCTCTAATTGAGACGACGGAGGATGAGGGTGGCGTTTCTATGCCCACTTCGACCAACAAGAACATCTTCCTCGATCTATCTTCTCTAGTAACGGAGTCCGGCTCGAACTTGTCACAAGGCCAGCGACAGCTGCTGTGCCTTGCACGCGCTATGCTCAAGGACCCGAAGGTGCTTGTCATGGACGAAGCAACAGCATCGATAGACTACAATACCGACTCCAAGATTCAGGGAACCATCCGGGAGCTGAACAGTACCATCATCACGATAGCTCACCGTCTCGTGACGATCGTGGACTATGACAAGGTGCTCGTCCTGGACCACGGCGAGGTGGTGGAATACGCCCACCCTCACGAGCTCCTCCAAATGGAAGACGGAAACTTCCGAAGCATGTGCGAAATGAGTGGCGATCTGGATACTCTGACCGCAGCGGCCAAGAAAGCGTGGGAGGAGAAGAGACCCGTGGACGACGAATAGGTTGCAGTCTACATTGGTCCATAACCATCGAGGAAGGTGCGTAGCATGACGCACAAGATGCGGCGCTATCCGTCGGTGTGTGCTGTAGTAATAACATTGCATATATACATTTCCTTGCATATCACGGTGCTGGGGCGCTCTCGTGGGTGTTGGCAGTATTTACATACTCTGCCGGCAAGCCCCGCTGGTGGTCGCAGACGTCGAAATAGGTAGATCAGAGAGACTTCGTCTCTCCAGCGTTCATAGTCGGTGTATTACGTAGATTTGATTTACATCTATCCGTGTCTCTTATGTTTAGGAGTCGTGCGGGATGGTACCCTGAATCCTCATAAGTCTCTGTACACCTCTCATTCACCAAGCGAATGGTGCGTTCATGATAAATGGAATAATCATGCTAGAATAAGCATCAAAGATGACTTTATAGCTGTAACCTGCTTATTTTATTTAATGTGCTTATTCCATGAATGTCAGTATTCCTGTCGATGTCCGAGAATGAAGGACGGAGACTTATGGGAGTGGACTGTAACTTAGTTACTGTCGTCTTGAGTATTGGTGACGGGTGACGATGGCCGCTTAGCCTGATACTGCCGGCTGCAGCATATGCTGAAGTGATGCAGGGCGGTCACGGCCAGCATGCCCATTATGTCTCTGGTTGTGAGATGGTTTCTCGGCAGAGGCTTTGGACAGCGGTTGCTTTGGCGCTGATTGCATATCACTCATCATCTCATGGCAGGCCGGACAGAGTTGGCGGTGTGTGTAGTGTGAAGGATACTGTTGATGAGATTACCGGTGGATGTGAGTAACGTTATTTACAAATATGTCGCTGGGAACTGCTGAGATCTCACGACATGGAAACAGTGCTGAGCTAGCTTTACGCAGGTGGGTAGGGGGCATGTTGGCTGTGATTGGGCCGGCTGGAGTGTTAATTATTGCGAGACGATGGACTGCTGAATGGATCATAGACTTTTGTTGTCAGTTTGCGAGTAGGGTGAGTCATGCAAATGGTTTTTATTCAGAGTCAGTGTCCATTAAGCGCAGAAATAGTTATGAGGCAAACTCAATGTCATAAAAGAGCGCATTTTCAGATTGCATACCCAGAATCTCCTTGATGAGTTGATGCTGTTTTCTTACGAGAGCGCTAGAAGAGCTGTTTTTTATATCGCCTCCCTCGTCGTCGTTATCGTCTTGCCCTCTCTATCATCGAAGTTCGACGTGAGCTGTATTTCTCGCAGAGCCCGTTGATATATCGCTTCATCTTGTCTTGACAATCCAGTTTAACAGTCAGTCCACACTTGGGTGTGCAACACGCCCGAGCTTTCCCGCATCTTGCCTCTATAAGGTGGAGGAGTTTATACCGTCCGCATTTCGTCCCTAGTGCTGACTATAGAAGCTATTCAGACCAAATAATCAGGACTCCGCCATGAACGACTCAATTTGTTTCCCCGAATGGGACAAGTCCGCGACCATGCGGCACATCACCGCCTATCGAGACCACCATAAATCGAGCGATACCCACCGGATTAACGGCCAGGTCAACCCTCGCTATTATGGGAAGCCGTACCGACGCCCTAAAATACTCCGGGCCTATTTCTAAGAACCAAAGCTGCTCGCTCTTCCTACACGGGCTCCCGATAGACTGCACGGAAGGCTGACAGCAACTCCTGCTACAGCACGGAGCAGATTACTTCGCGAACGACGAAGCCCAGTCTTTTTCTCCGGCGTGGGCGCTTGAAATGAACTGCTACCAAAACGCTATGCACCTCTGCAGCCTGGAAAAAACGAACTACGTTGGCTTCCGGTTCGAGCTTGCGCTCTTAGGCAGTATACCAGGTGCATGTAAAGTTTTCAGCTGCCGTATTACCGGCCGTAGCGAGAACCATGCTGGCCGCGCTGCGAAGCTTTGCTTCTGGACAGCTGAAGGAGCGGCAAACTCCATGGCCCAGGTTGCAAGAGGCGAGTTCCGGGTTGGAGACACCACACCCACAGTAATGATGGACCGCATTCGCGCAGCCGAGCAGGTCGAGTCACCCGCCTCCCGAACCCTTCAAGTAGTTGGTCCGCGCCAGATTGCCAACAAGTAATACTTGGACGCGTCGTGGCATGATGCCAGCTTCTTTTGGCGCATTGACGGATGCAAGACGCTCTACGAGACCGAGCTGACGAGCTGCGTCGAGTATGCATTTGCGTCCTCTTGAAACCAGTTTAAACTAGCCCTGGGGGCTCTCCTGAACCGTAAAATGCGACTTCATCATTCCGCGGACGAGCATCAGCAATGGGAATTGGTTCACTGTTACTGGGGAACTGACCCTGCGACGTTTCGAGGTCTCGCGACACAATCAACACCACGGTCTTCCTGACGATCTCAAAATAGACTCGCAAGAATCAGACGCACACGATGCATTCTATCATGCTGTACATCAAACCTACGATCACTCGATCATTCCCATCTCTATCACTACAACATGCGCCGAACCCAAGGACCATTGGAGCAGCCCGGCGACCATCGCCGATTTTCTCGACCACAACCAAATCAACGCCCGCACTAATCATCCCATTGACAATCATATGGACGACAATTACCACGGCAGCCGACGCGACCCCATGAACTTCTCAGCTGCGATATCCGAAAACGAAAGCTGCGGTGTGTTGTTGAAGAGACTGCCGGCGGTATGTACTTTACGTTATCTGCGCCATCGTCGGGGATGACCTTACTTGTTCTGCTAGCTATGCATGCCGCGTCGGTTCTGGTAGTTGTCTCTTTTCAAGCATGCGTGCGATTCCAGTGCGAGACAGGGACAACAATAAGGGGCCTATTGCGCATCACGCTTGGCATATAACTAACATCTCCCACCCCCCTGCGGACCACCCCCCCGCGGACCAGCGCGTTCTGACCCACAAACGCGTAATTCACCAACCACCAGGATTATGGTGATCCACCATCTACACCATCACTTTTGCATCTTTTTTTTCACAAAGCACACTATTTGAATCCTTATCCACTGCTGAATCTCATGATGTCATTTTACGACCGTCAAATAAAAGCTGAAGCCGCCATTTTAGCCATCCAACGCGGAGCTCCAGTCCGCTCGTCAGCCCTCGAATAGCAAATCAGTCGCTCGTACGTCAACCGACGAATCTCTGGCACCCCAACGCGGAATGAGACCAGCGCTCTCCAACAGGCTCTCTCACCGTATCTCGAACATAAGCTGGCAAGCTGGGCCCTGGGGCAAGCATGGCTAGGGTATTCTCCGGCGGTCTCTAAGTTCTGTCTCATGGCCCAGCGGATGCTCCATGCCACCAGGGATACTCGAGAATTAGGGAAAAATTGGGCATCCAAGTTCCTGTCTCGAAACCCAGAAGTCAAGATAATGAAGTCTCGTATTATCGACTACAACCGAGTGAATGGTGCTACAGCGGCAAATATCAACATTTTTTTCGATCGGTGTGACGCCCCTGACGTGGTTAACCTCATGCCAGCACGCTGGTACAATGTCGACGAAATGGGAATCGCCCAGGGGGTTGGGGACTCCCATTGGGTGGTCTCCGAGGCCTCCGGCAACGTGGCTATGAAGAAAGGGGTCGAGAAGGGTGAATGGATAACTGCCCTAGAGTGTGTGAGCGGATCTGGTGAGACCTTGCCGCCGCTGGTGATTCTCAAGGGGGTTAACGTACAAGCCCAGTAATTTAGCAACCAAAATGAGGGCAAATTCACCGACTGGAGGTTTATTACGTCGCCCAATGGATGGACCTCGCATCCCATTGCGTTAGAATGGCTTCAACGTATCTTTATTCCTCACATTCGGGAGGTCCACGGCAACACATGGGTGGTTTTGGTGTGTGATGGCCACGACTCCCACACGAATGACGAGTTCCTAGCCACCTGCTTGAGAAACAAAGTATGGTTGATCTTTTATGAACCTCACTGCTCCCATGTAGTCCAGGTATTAGATGTGGGAGTCTTCAATTTGGTGAAGAAAAGGTTGAAGACCTTACTCCAGGAGACGCCCAGCGGCCGTCTGGGACTCAGGCCATCTAAGGAGGATATTTTGGAGTGTTACGAGCAGGCCCGGAAGGACACAATGACGCTCCTCAATATCAGAATTGCCTGGAAAAAGACTGGGATTATTCCTTGTAACAGAGCGGAGGCATTGAAGTCGAAATATGTGATTCTGGAGGACAAGGGGGTGGCCAGGGCACGCCAGAGGGACTCTAAGGCTTCCGAGCGAGCCACAACACCAGATTTTCTCGAGATGGTAGCTAAAACCATTGTCACAACACCCTCTGGAAGCCGGGCTTTGCGGGAGAGTGCTCGAAAGCTCGAAAGAAAGGACCCTTCTTTTGGGGGGCCCTTTGAGCGCTTGTTGGTACGGAAGGCTGGCAAGGCCATGGATGTTCAGGCTGCTACCATTGCAAATCTACGGGCCAAATGTGAGCTGCTTGAGGCTCAAGTGGCTAAAAAGGCTAATACCACTCGAAAAGCAGTCAAACCAACACCAAGGGAACGATTCGTCACAATGGCTAACATAAGGGAGGCCAAAATGGAGCTGAGGAACAGGAGGGTCTATAGGGACTCCGCTACAGGCGAAGAGGTCCCATAAGAGGTCCCTGGTGAAGATTTAGGGTCGGAATCGGATTCTGGGAGCTGTATTATGGTTAGAACACCACGACCTTAGTGTATTAGCAACTGTGGTGGTTGTAGATGGCTTCATCTGAATGAGAGTGGTGTGGTGTGGAGTGGTCCGTGGGGGGGTGGTCCGCAGGGGGGGGTGAGATGTTACGGTGTAGCTACCATCCCCCACCTAGTACTCGGACACCCCCACTACTCGTACAGCCAAACCCCGCATCCACCACCAAAACATCCCCTTATTCACCCACACCTAAATGAAGTCTTGTAGATTGGAAAAATTCAGCAAAATTATCATTCGATAGCGGTGGGGCTGTTTACTCGTACAAGCGTGCGGGCGCCCGAATGGCTCGCCCCGAACGGGTGTGTCTAGGCTCCTGTATGGCCTCCAAAACGGGCTCTTCAGCCGAGTCTTCGTCTTCTTCTTCTTCCTCCTCGTCCTCATCAACCACAATTTCTGGTACATCCGCAGAGACACCAGGGGTGATATTACCACCTTTACTTAGTACCTCCGTGACTGTTCTGAACTTCTTGTTAGGATTATGGATCTTCTGGCGCTTCTTTGGCCGTAGCCGCTCCAGTTCAGCCTCCAGGGCCTTGATCTTCCTGTCCTTGATAACAAGGTCAGTATCCTTAGCCTCGAACGCGGTGGCTATCTTCTTATACTTCAGCCGGGTGCCAGGGGACTTATTTTTGCCGAAATTCATGATCTGGCGGCTCGTAGTAGGGGTCCGTTGGTCTTCTGGTTCAGAGCTCTCAGGGGTCTCAGGCTCAGGGGTCTTCTGCTTCTCTTCCTGGATTTCTAGGTGCGTTAAACACTTCCTGCGGCTGATAGGATAACATCCAGTCGTTCTAAAGCCAGAGAGGATGTTTGCTTTAGTGAAAGCAGCAGCTCTGGCCTGGCTATAGCACCGAATGAAGTTGATCTTGTTAACAGGCGAGGCGTCCGTCAGAGAATTTAGCTGGGAGAGGAATTTCTGGTAGTGAGCCTTCAGGGCGTTATAGGGCCCGTTATCCAGGGGTTGCATGCCGTGACTAGTGTGCGCAAGGAAGAAACAGAGCAATATGTTGGTAAAATAACAGATGGTCATGAATTCGTCCTTATAACACGCGTTAGCCTTTATTAAATCGGGGAAAAATGAAAGAAGTCCATGTAGAATAAGGAAAAAACATATACGTATGGAGGTGTGGCTACCATGGCCATCTAGTATCAAAAGAACAGGCTCGGCCTGGTCTTTTCCTCGTACCTCGTCCACCTGCGGGATGAAGACATCTTCTAGCCACTGGCAGGCTATTTCATTCGAAGTCCAGCCGTTTTCTGAGCATATGTAATGCCAATCGGCAGTCTTTTGGAACTCCTCGATAAACTACTGCACTTGCAGGTCCTTCCCCTTAAAGATAATACCTGGTTTGAGGATTTTTCTAGTTGCGGAGATGGCCTCGATAAAGGAGGTCCAGCTACGGCTCTGGGGGCTCTTTAGGAAGGCTTTCTTAGTAATAGAACTACCTAGAACGAGAGAGTTGATGCCTGCGAAGATAATTAGAATTTCTGTGGATTTAAAAGGGTAGGTAAAGCTACCAAAACCCGCCATAATGCCGCCCTTATCGACAATGTACGTGTTTTCTGGCTTTACCCAGCCGTAATCTTCCAGGATATCGAAGAACCAGTTAACTGCCTTCGGCGTAAAGCCCTTAAAGCGCGCTGATTCCATCCGCTTGCCAACTTTGGTCTTTATTTGGGGGTTGCGGCGCTTGAAGCCGGCGATAAAGTTGTCTCCAAGGGGGCGTGAATCTCCGTTCTTTTTCGACACCTTCAGGATGATCTCACGCACCAGGGAGTGCGAAGGGGCTAGTCCCAGCTTCTCCTGACGTAAAATCCACTTGACTATAGTGCTCTCTTGAGCAGGGGAGAGTCTCTGTTGTTGTATATGGGCCTCGGACTTCGAGGGCTTGCCGTTGAGTCGGTCAGAAAGCGTCGTGTCAGGGATGCCGTGCTTTTAAGCGCTTTTTCGCAGCGAGAGGCCCTCATCCATGATATCTAAGATGGCATTCGCCATGTGATCCTCCGTATACGAATAGGGAGGCATTTTTGGCGGCTGTACGATGCTGCAGTGCATACAGAACAAGGCTTCAAACGAGGCTCAAGCACTGCAAATTTCTCTATTCGGGGTAGGAAACGCGGGGTAATAGACAGCCAATCACGTAGGCCGCGCGGGGTAATTTTTGTATTGGAAGAAACTTTAAGATCAGGGCTATCTAGAGAAGTAATTACATTCTAAATAGCTTCAATATCAAGCCGAATCCGTATAAGTGAACATGTGGGAGTTTAGGTGGTGATGGTGGGGTTTGGCTGTACGAGTAGTGGGGGTGTCCGAGTACCAGGTGGGGGATGGTACTCTTTACTTCTAAAGAAACAAAGTTTACGGACATGCCACGATATTACTCTCATAGTCTATTTGTCTGACTCGCAGAGCTAATCAGTCTCCTTTGAATTGATGTGATCCTATCTCTCACAAGGCACGCAGGTCACCGACGGCCTTTCAGGTCATATCTATGACTGGCTGATGAGCGGTGTTGAAAATCAGGGCCAGTCATGATCTCCTTCATCCTAGACCGGCGGGTAGAAGCTGTAGCTCGGTGGAGGGACTTCTAGCTCCAAACCCTCTCGCCACATGATTACCTTTGCTCGTTGGTCTCTGGCGTTCGCATTCCTTCGGTCTTGCTCTTGTCGTGTCTGGAATCTTCTCTGTCGACGGCGAGAATACCATTTAGCCAGGTAGAAAGCACCTACTACTATGCCCGGCAGAGAAAACAAAGTCAAGAAGACGCCGCTGACTATCCACGCAATTTCGTCGTCGCGCGCTTCGTCGGCTTCAATGCGATTATTGTATGCCCCCTTTGCGACATCGTTGCATGCCTGGAGTGTGCAGTTGCTTTCAATTCTGTCTTGAAGGGCTTGGGGCAAGGCATCGAATTCTTCCCCAGCGAGCGAGTATCTGAAGTTCTTATCAGCCTCTGGTCGCTACGAAGCACCATATTCCTTGGACTCACTCTTTGCAAATGATGATATTCGTAACTGTACAACAGGTTTCGGGAGTGAAGAGAACCTCACATGAGCTGTTTTCTTGAGCCGCGTTTGCTATACGCATGGAGGCATTAAAGAAATGTTCCATGATGCGCATTCAGTGTGGGACCGTGCTGCATGTCGGACTGTGTAGAAAAGGTTTCAGAGATTTTGATAATGCCGGTCGCTGATGGGGTCTAATGAGTGAAACTATGAGCTTTTAACAGAAAAAAGAGGGAGGGATAATCACAGAAGTGGAGGCGCCTTATATACATGGGCCCTAGGTTTTCATGTTCGTGGAAATTCTCTCTCGGGGTGTAACTCTATTTTAACCTTTACAGTGGCGCGGTTTACCAATTTTCGGATTTTACCTGAAGGCCTTCTTCCTCCCCGGCATGGTTAAGGTTTTGGTAGATTGAGATAGTTTGCGGCGTCTTACTTTGTTAGACTTAACATAAAGGGCGGGGCCTTTGTTTTCTGTTATATTTTAAGGTATTTAGGTTTAGGTCCTACCTTGCGGCTAAAGAGCTAAATAATAAAATAAATCGTCTTCTTTCTTAATAATACTTATAAAACGCAGTCGACCGAGATGTAGGTGGGATCACGTATAATCTTCCAGGCAGCTAGCCTCTAGTTGTAAGGTGGAGTGTTTCCCACCGTCTACAATATTTCTGTTGTGTACTGACGATATACCCAAAGTGGACAAGATTACCAACACCCCATCATAGACCATTCGATCCGCTTGTCCAAATGGGCCAAGCCAGCAGCTCTACAGCACATCACAGCACCGACGATCGCAGCGCGAACCACGTCCGTCACCCTGTTAACCTCTGCTTCCGGAAGGCTGACTTCGTGTTCCCAATCCACCAGATTGAGATGATACCGATGATGTGGAATGATCAATTCAGGCTCTGCCGCAACCTTGAGCAAATAGAGGATGGTCTTTCATGGCAACTCTGTTCATCTTCTCGCTCAAGCTCAACGCCATTGTGGCACTGGCGGCCGTGGCGGAAGGACAGATCAGACAGAACGGTAGTACGTATGCTATAAGGTTACATCAATGCGAAATCAATAAGAAGTCAATGGTGTCAACGTATATTCAACGGCCCCGAGATTAATATATTATATGATTTAAGGTTTAATATTGTGGGATTCTGGGCTACGTTAGCCCATCCATAGTCATCCTTCAGGATCACCATCCCCATTTGTGACTCTGTCACATACGTGGCAAATACAAGGCCACGTATCCGTTCCTTTAGTATCTTGGATATATATAGGGCCATTCTGGCCGCTCCAGAGTAGCTGGAATTCCTCTCCTTAATAGAACACTTGTCACGGCGAGCATACTGGGGAGCTGGGACATGGCCTGCAGCAAGCAGCTATTACTCTATTCTTATACTCGGCCACGAGGACAGCGAGTGACGTGGGGGATACGGACCAGCAGATAGTATATTTGACGAGTTCCAGGATCTTGGTGCCATTATTCCGATGCCTAGGACTTGGACATAGACAACTAAAACATTGCATTCCCTGCTTCATTAGCTCGTTATATATCTTCCTGTGAGTAAACGCCCAAGACGACAGCCCATCATAACACTTCAATACATAAGTGACCCATGAGGGAACAGTGGGTTAACTATCTGCGCGACTGCTGTGTGTGACCAGGCACTACTATTCGCTCATAAAAAATCGTCCATATAAGCCAATCTCGAACTGACCCGCGCATGCTGTAGATTACTCTTTTTTGGTGTTCCAAATCTCGGGCTCCGAAATGAGCAGCTACAGAGTATTGTTTATGGCAAACCTAACGAGAAGCTAATTCACGCACTGATCGTTGATCGCGACTCCGAGCCCTCCGATTATCTGGCGAGGATTTCTAGTGAGTTTTCCAATCAATGCAAAAGAAAGTACTGAGTCATCTCCTTTTTCGAGACGAAGTACACCTCGACTGTGCAGGTAAGATCTACGCAGTTACCCCTATTGGTAAAATGCTCAAAGTTATCCAGATGCAAGCTGATGGGCACATCACGAAAACCGGTCCGCAGATGCTACTTGTGACAAAGAAGTCCGCTACAAGCACAGGCTTGACCGCGGAAGCTGATGAAGACAATGTCAGCCTGGATACTGATCACTCAGGGCTTGTAAAATATGACTCAAACATCCGTGGCATGTATCTTGTTGTGCGGCAAAGGCTCGAGACGATTGTGGCCAAAGATGTACCTCGCGTGGCGAGAAGCTTTCATGATAGTACGTCATAATACATCCCTAGAGCAATACCTTCTTAGCTCCCTTCGCTCCTTTACTGATAATAATCACACATAATAGATACCAAACTAGAAGGTGAGGCGGCCCTTTAGCTTGGATAAAATGGCCTAGCTAACTGGTGTAAAAGATGTTCTGGCCGTAAATCTACCAGCCGAAAAATGTCACTCCGATCTTTTCGAGACGGATTCTTTCGAGGATATGAAATCTCTGCAACGCAAGAAGGGTGACCGCACCAAAGGCACTTGCAAATGGATACTCGAGACAGGAGAGCTCACTTCTTGGCTCGGCCGTGAGCACGCGGTGACATTGACCAATGTTCTCTGGCTGCATGGGAACCCAGGGACTGGGAAGTCCACTATGGCCATTTGCCTTGCCGAGGTACTCCGGGAGCAGTTCCGCCACTCAGACCAGAAAACCCTTTCCTGTTTCTTCTGCGATTCCAATTTCGACACCCGTAGGTCAGTGACGTCAGTGGTCCGAGGGCTTATCCTGCAGCTCATTCAACAATATCCGCGACTTCTCCTCGACTACCTCCTGCCAAAATACCGCGAGTGCGGAAAGATGATCTTTGATTCATTTGACGCTTTGTGGACTATTTTGCACAAAATGGCCGCCGATGAAGCCACCGGCCATAAATTCTTCATCATCGATGCCTTGGATGAGTGTGATCAAGAATCGCAGCAGATTCTCATAAAGTAACTGCAGCAAGATTTCCAACATAAGAGCTCTGCAACCGACATCCAGCTATTCGTCAAAAGCCGACCTTACACAAAAATTCAAGAACGTTTAAAGGCGTTTTGCAATAAGGACCTAGCCTCATTCCCCGAGTCAAAGAAAGATATTGATCGCTTTATTAGCGAAAAGGTTATGGAGCTTACGGCCAGAAAGCAGTACACAGACAGCGTAAAGAAGCAGGTCACAGATATCTTGGAAGAAAAATCTGAGAGCACTTTCCTCTGGGTCGGCTTGGCATGCGGGGAGCTAGACCAGGTTCCTTCGAAAAGTGCGGTCGACCACTTGAAGAAGATGCCGTCTGGGCTAACTGCCTTGTATAAAAGACTACTTGACAATGCTTTTAACGCTCCTGGGCAAAAGGCAAAAGTTATTCAAATTCTAGGTCTTGTCGCAGTATCGTTTCGGCCACTCAGCGTCTCAGAGTTAGCTGCAGTTTGCCAAACTTACCTTGACGAGGACTAAGAGACACGCATTCAGTTCACACGAGATGATATTGCCACCTGCCGGCTGCTGGTCGTCATTCAGGACGAGCAGGTTCTCCTGCTGCACCAGTCGGTAAAGGATTTCCTCGCCGGCGATAATGCGCAACAATGGGTCCAGGAAGTGTATTTCCATGCGGACATGGCATACAGGTGTGTAGATCAGCTCATTCGCAATTTTGAGCTGGTCAAGGCTCATCCACAGTGGGAGAAAGAGTTCTCTTCTTACGCATCTGATTATTGGGATTCACACACGCGACTTGCAGGAAACAAGTTCAAAGTCAAGCATATACAGGCGATTTTTTTCGAAGTCAAGTCTCTACCTAGAGACGCTTGGCTTTATCGAGCCAGTAACCGGTACAGTGGTCACATGACACTCCCAACACAAGCCTCAATTTTACACATCGCAGGATATTGTGGCATCCCAGCCATTCTTGACTATTTGTGTAACAGTCCACATCAGCAGATGGCTTCTGATATTATGGCAATATTAGAGTGGGACGATAGTCGCAACGAAACTCCACTGAGTGCGGCAGCCATTGGTGGGAATGAGATTATAATTACACAATTGCTAGAGTACAAGGCACAGATGAGTATCAAAGTGGTCAAGGCGGCAGCAAGGAACGGGAAGAATGGCATGGAGGTGATGGCGCTGTTTCTTGACCGACGAGGAGACGAGGTCCCCGTCACAGAGGAAGTGGTCAAGGCGGCAGCAGAGAATGAAGGGAATGGCCAGGAGGTGATGGCACTGCTTCTTGACTGACGAGGGAAAGATGTCCCTATCACGGAAGCAGTAGTTCCCATTGTTGCCCAAAGCTTCAATAAGGAGATAATAGCGCTGTTTCTTGACCGACGAGGAGACGAGCTCCCCATTACAGACGAAGTGGTCAAGGCGGCAGCAAGGAATGAAGGGAATGGCAAGGAGGTGATGGCGCTGCTTCTTGACCGACGAGGAGACAAGCTCCCCGTCACAGAAGAAGTGGTCAAGGCGGCAGCAGGGAATTGGAATGGCAAGCAGGTGATGACGCTGCTTTTTGACCAACGAGGAGACGAGGTCCCTGTCACAGAAGAAGTGGTCAAGGCGGCAGCAAGGAACGGGAGGAATGGCAAGGAGGTGATGTCGCTACTTCTTGACCGGAGCCTACTGACCAGATCGTTTATCTCTAGTGATGTTTTACGTATTGCTGCTGCTTGTGGCCAACTCGACATTCTTCGTTTCCTGTCCTGCCAAGCCTGTATCGTCACTGTTCAAGAGGAGGACTTTGCCATCGCCAGACTATATAACGCAGCAGCATCAGGAACCACAACCACAATAAAAAAGCTTCTCCAGACCGGAATACCACCAGATACACAGAATATATGGGGTATGACACTATTGTGGATCGCAGCGGCACATGGTCATGAACAGGTAGTCCGCCTACTCCTAACCACGAACAAAGTCAGCATTATTTCAGAAATAACTATCCGAAATGCACCTTATACTCGGCCATCTTACGACCAAGGGGATACTGCTCTCATGGTAGCGAGAAAGAATGGGCACAATAGAATCGTTGAGGTTCTGAGCAGTGACTGTTTCTGAGTTTATTAACTCGACTTCCTTAATAAAAAATGTCAGATGGTCGGGAAGCAAGGAAAACGACCATAACGTCATACATAAATAAGTATTGCAGTGCGTGTTTAAAACGAGCGGCTTGCGGGCTGTTTGTGCTTGACGTTTAGAACAGCATAGGCGATAATGGCACCTTATCCCTTCCTACCTGTCGACCCTTTATTTTGTGGGCCGGTTTAGACGCGCAGTGCTTCACGATATGAAGAGCACTGCGTTTGTTAATACATTTTATTCCGTTGCTGTTACCACCATGCCACGCATGCCATCATCTAAATGCTGACATCTGCTATAGGATCGCCACTGTCGTGGTCCATGATCCACCAGGTGATCCGGTTACAGCCAGGGTGACGGGCCGTCTCTTACAAGACACATTCTGCCTCGTCCATGCCGACCTCCTGGGCTTCGAATGCCATTAGCAGTCTGGCCAGCAGCTGAGGGACAACGTCATCTGCAAGCCCATCGCGGAAGGCAACTGCTGTCGATCGAATGTTCTGCAGGGTCTCGCGTGTGGTAATATGGTCGTGACGGGTACTATCGTATGGACTGACGGCCCCATCATCGTTAGCGTATGGGAAATGATGCTATCGAGGGCTGCGTGCTGGGTTGTACTTCTTGCCACAGCTCAAACAGCAAGCCAAAGTGGCGATCTTAACTCTTGCCATTTAATAGCTAGCAGTGTTCATATTAAACAGTGGTAGAGTTGTGGATGTAATGTAGACGGCGGTAGTATCGAGGGTGTTGGAGGGCAGGTCCGTAGATAACGCGTTGCGTGGATCGGGTTTGATAGAGAAGGATATTTAGAGCCCAGTCTCTATTCGCACATCCAGTTAGTAGTTGTAACATCAAGGGAGAAGGAGCAAAGGAGCAAAAGAGCTTATGACCAAAATAAAAATTGTTGACAAGACCGGCTGATCTGAAAACCTACCTGCTTACTGGAAGCACAATGGTTATGTAAAAGATGGTTATGATTAAATGGGTAGCAGAGGGGTCAAAGGCAGGTAGTGAAGCCAAAGGAATAGCGCCTCCCCTCAGCCTCGCACAATGAGGTAGTGGCTGTATAGCTTGCGCCTGCCACGACAAGCACAAATTAGCGATATTCTGCCGATGTCGTGGAATCTGCGCTGACAAGTACGTACCTTTTCTGCCCATCCTATTCTGCCGGGCATAATGACAGTATGTATCCTTTCAGCCCGTCTTACTCTGCCAAGGCCTGCATATGGCCTATGACATCAATCTACTGACTTGTCTTTCTTAATAGAGTGACGCCGATTAAACCTGTATGACTTGGAATATATACTGCATAACACCAACATCTATCAAATAAAAGCACCCTTTAAACTACAAGTAAACGCAACAAAGACAATGAAATGCCTGATGAACAAGCCTCTAGTAAGACACTGTTCACCTGTTATACCTCCCAGCCTTCCTTTGACATAATGGCCCAATGGTTTGAGACGGCCCCTTCGCTTCGGTGCAACTTCTTTGCAATCCATAGCCATCCCTTTTCTTCTGCCACCCATCCCTGCAGTTGAAGGTTTTCGAGTTCTGTCTATCGACTTCTTTTGACCACTGTGTCGTCCTCTTCTCCTGAACTGGTATTTTGGTCCGGGATAGAGTCATAGCTACCTGCCTGGCTTCCTGCATCGCTATCGCTCTTGACGCTTTTGATGCGTCCGTTTCGCATGCTGTTTAGAGGTATTGGCGTCATAGAAAGAATAACAGAGGGGCTGCGAGCCACACCGTCATGGGAGCGGTTCATATCTGCAGCCTGCCCGCCTTGGGCAAGTCTCTGGGTGGCATGACTGCGAATGAAACCAAGAAACAGCTGCATTATAGTCGTACTATTCTCTTTTTTGTAAAGAGCTTCAACTGAATTACATAACTCGAGGATATGTCTAGTAGAAAAGCTATAAATGCCACAGCTTGCCGTAAGTGGTTCTGGAACTGCAATAATACGAGAGGCAAGTTTTCTTGAGCCTGGTACTTCGTGACCAGGCCTGCCACTACTTTGAGTGCTTACATGGAGGTTCTTGTGTTGTCGATTTTGGCGTTGAAGTTCACGTGACTGATCTCGCTTAGTGTCTGCTATACCCTCTGAGATAGGTGTTCTCTGTTTGGTTTGGTTACGGAGGGATCGGCCACGGAGGGATTGGCCATTAGCCCTTCGCTTCTCTATTAGTAGGTTTGCGGGGGGACTTTTTACACGCCGCTTTCGAGCACCGGATGCCCGCTTGGTTTTGCTGGGGCCATGATGAGGAATCGACCCGCCCAGCTTGCCTGCTGGCATTCGAGAAAGCAGCAAGCGCAAGCTCTTGGCAGTGTTGCCCTTTCTGTAATAGGAGAGGGAGCCGTCGATAGATCCACAGATGATTCAGCCTGAAGGTGAGTTTTGGGACCTTCAATGTATTCCTTTGTCTGACCAGGGTTCAAGGCAAGGTAATCAGAGGACCTATCCAGATCAGATTCTGGACGGGTGTCACGAGACCTTTTGCGCGATTGGGAAATGTCGTCAAAAACATGCTCGGAAGCATTGGCGTTCGGCATTAGAGCACTACTGCTAGGGTCGGCAGCCAAGGGTTTTTGGCACAGTCGAGGAGATGAACCTTCGGAGAAAGAGGTGACCGGTGTATCTACAGTTAGTTTGGCCGCTGTAGAACAGGCTTCAGCAACTTTGAGGTCGTTTATGCAGTTTAGGCTCGACGCAGGTGTGGCTTAGGAACAGGTAAAGTCGTCGGGGTTGGCGTAATCCGAGCTGCTATAATTCTGGTTATAGTCTTCAATACCTGCTACGGGGTGACAAGATCAGTCTAAGCTTTCTTGTGATAAGTATATTACTTACACATATCCATAGTATTATTAATATCATGGCAAGCTGATAGTTGTTCCGTAGAAGCAGCCGCTTGGCAAAGGCTGATAATACTGTTGTCCAAGTCTGCACCACCAGCATTTCCAAGGATTGCGCTGGGCTGGCTTAAAATGCTTGCCGGGTCGTCATTGGATGGTTTCCCGTGACTGAAAGCTCCAGTGTCCTGTTCTAATGGGGGTTGAACAGTGAAACCTTCCCCAAGGGACCGCTGGACACTCTGGGTCTGATGCCGGTTGAGTGCCTCATCGTCGACTCGAGGGACAAGATTGCTATGGATTGAAGGCATCTGGAGGAAGTTCATATGCTGCTGAGGGTTTGTTGTTGATGTGGGAGCAGCAGTTGTTCGCTTTGGCTTCGGCTTCGGCTCTGGCTTCGGTAGCTGCCATGCCTTGAATTTCAGATTAGACATTTGGACAAGATAAAGCAAGTCTGAGTCAGAACACTTTCCTTTCAAGTGATTGAGGAAAGACGACTTATATACTTTACACCCTGCCATGAAACCCAGCTCTCAACACTTGTTAGTAGCAATGCCTGATTATTATCATCTACCCGGGGTTGCTGAGATAAGCCTGACGTATTTGATTTCCAGAATAGATTATAGCTCTCAAGAAGGCGGTATATGCCGTTTCTCACTGGGCAGGTTTACAGCCTGGCCAGAACATGACGTGTGGCATTATTACAGACCTGGTAACTTCTTCCATGGCGCTCATGGAAGTGCCCATTCGGTGACTTATGAGGCAGCCACAGCGCGCAAGTTCAAAGGCCAAGGATAAGTCACAAGCAATATTATAATGGCGCATATGATGATAAAGCCATATGCTAATTGCAGGGTGTAAATATGCTAGAGGCTACTAATGCTACTGATGAATGAAGGTTATTTGGATTGCAGACAGGGCTGTGACGGGGTCGGGCGTAGCGTAGTCTGAACTGAGCAAAGGGAAGAAGAGGTACAAGTGGACTTGGGAGATACATGAGGGGTTGATCCCATTTCTTGGTGCGCAAAAAGCAGCAAGAGGTTGCCCGGCCGAGAATTACCCGACAGGGCAGGTGCCCGAAATGGCATGTTCGAGCCACCATTTCCGGAAGCGGCCTTGCCGTCTCTTATTATACTTCCACAAAAAATACGTTTTAATTAATAACAAAACCCATAAAAAGTTTCTAAAGAAGCTGTAGAAATATATTAAAAATAACATTAAAAACAATGTATTAAAATCTTTAAAAAATATAATTAAAAATAGAAATAAAGTAAAACAAATCTTTTTATTCAAATATAACTTTTAAATAAACAAATAAAACTTTTTTATACATATTATACGCTTTAGTACTAATTACGTTACCTTTATTTAAATATGATATTTAATAAATCTTTGAAAAACAAAAGCTATTAAAAAAAATCGCGAGTTACTTAAGAAAACATTAATAGCTTTTTTATATAATATTAAGTATTTTAAAAAGGTTATGATTATAAAGTATAGAAATTTTAAGGTTTTTAAAATTATAAATATTAGCTTGATTTTCGATTAAAACGATATAAAATCTATTATAAAATACGTATTAAATAACAAACTGTCGGATCTTGTGATACGTTAAATTATGATTAATTATCATGAAACCAAGTTATAAAACAAAAATTTTTAACTGTACGAAGGCTATTAATAAAGCCGTTTAAAAGGGTTCCAACAATTTTTTTTTAAAGAAGATTTATTACCATTTTAAAAAATAACCTCGGCGGGATTTCTGAAATTAAGTTGTTAACATTTAATAAAGCAAACTAACAGGTAAAAATAACGTATAACTACGCGCGTTAAAAATTAAACCTAATAGCATGAAAATTATATAGGTTTTAACTAATAAAAATCTAATAAATAAGCTTATAAGACTACTTAAACAAATAAAATTCGAAAAGTTTATTAAATTATTAAAAATAAAGCTTTTAATTATTACCACGTTAAGCGATATCATAATGCATGATATGTTGGCATACAAGTGCCGTGCAGGTGCCGTGCAGGTGCGGCGCCAGCTGCGCGGCAGCTGGAACGGACCAGAATAGCTGGTCAAAGGAAGAAAGGGGCAGAAAGCCCCTATTTAGGGATGGAAAGCCCTCATTCAGGGGCTTTCAAAAGTGATAGACAAGGAGTCGTTGACAGTCAGATCTAAGGATGGGCCAGTCTTTCAAGATGGCACTGTATTTAGTACTGAGATTCAACCCACGGACCGAAGTTAGATCACGCAACCAATACACTCCATTCTTGACCCCATAATATGGTCCTGTATTGTGACATGATACTTATATTTGACGTTATAAAAGCGTATAAAATATAGAGTATTATATAAGTATAGTAACGACTATAAAGTAACTATATTTAATTATAATAGATATTAAAATAATAATCAAGGCTTTATTAACTAGTAAGTTAATAAATAAGGAAATATTTATATTTGAATATGTTGGATCCATGGGATTCTAGCCTGCGAACCCTCTATACCAGGACCCACATGTATGATTAGATAAGAGATTAGATACCGTGTTGCGAGGTCACTTAGCCAGACCTTCAGGTCCAGCTAGACCTCCCAATCCAACCATCCGCAACATCATGACCTTGACCCAATACTCGAGTATTATGATTGATCGTTCAAGCCTGTTCCAACAGAATATGTGTTTAACGCTAGATTTAATATTTTAACTAGATGAATAATTACCTAATTAATATACTTTAATTGTAAACTTATATTTATAAGATTTCAAAGTGTTGTGACGGCCTGCATAGACCTCCCACATGACAAGCGGATACTTCTCAATAGGGGAAGGATCTGACCAGAGGATCCTCTTAAAGGGGCAACCTCCCACTGTACCTATCTCTCTCTCTCTCTTCCTTTCTTCTCTAGTCTTGATATTCTCGTCAATAGAGTAATAGCTGCTTGCTGCAGGCCATGTCCCAGCACCACAGTATGCTCGTTGTGACAAGTATTATGCTTTATCGTTCAAGCCTATTCCAACAATAGTGCTATTTATTAAGTTATAACTTTAAAAGTAATTAAGTGATTAACCAGTTATTATTTACTTTAAGCTAATATTATTTACTAGCTATTATAACTTTTTAACTTTTTGATATTATTATTATTAAAATACTATATAATTATTCATATTAAAGTGGTAGTTTATTATAAATTAATGAGTATTAATTTAATACTAACTTACAATAGCCTTATTATTAAGTTAGTTATTAAAGTTACAAGGGTTTTAATAGACTAAGTTAACGTGAATATTAACGTTAACTTAACTAACATATTAATATCTGTTAAGTTGTTCAAAATCTTGGTAGCGATTAAACGTCTCCAGGTACACTTTATAAAATTAGCCACATAAGCAAATAATAAACACGAAAACGCTAACCATTACTAGTTTAATAAGAAGCGTGAGTTTAAACATTATAGCCCGCAGTCACTCGTGACCAAGGAGAGGAAACTTCCTGATCAGACAAATCGAGGCTCGTATAGATTCCCACAAGCAGCCTTCAGCGGTGTGACGAGCCGTCTAACCTATAAGGCTAAAGGGTGTTGGATTCTGGGCTACGTTAGCCCATCTATAGTCATCCTTCAGGATCACCATCCCCATCTGTGACTCTGTCACATACGTGGCCACATAAGGCCACGTATCCTTTCCTTTAGTATCTTGGATATATAGGGCCACTCTGGCCGCTCCAGAGTAGCTGGAATTCCTCTCCTTAATAGAACACTTTGAAATCTCACAAAGGGTTATATAGGGTTTATGTTCTGAGGTAAATCAACACAAAGGACGATAAAGGCTTCTGTCAGCTAGAAGACACTCAGATACTGGGGCTTGGTCTGATCCAGGGGATCACTGTATAGTCGAGCCGTCAGGAGATTTCTCTCACCTTAGGGTTGGCTAAAATGCTTAGATTAATCATTGAGGTAGAGACTGTCTATCTGTCTGGTTAGGAAATATTCACCTTATATATCCAATCTCTCTCTTACTGATGAGGTGTGCTCACTGTTGCTCGCGTGATCCGAAGTGAGCAACCTTCCCTTGCTCACCATTGCTCGCATGAGCAGACGTGAGCAACTCTAGTCACGTGATCCTGACTTCCTGGATCACGTGCCTGGATGCCCTGCCCTGTTCTTTATTGTGTCCCCGTTCTAATTGGGTTCCCTCATAGGTCATCCTTTTCCCTTCAGGCCTGCCAACGGGCCCGTGGTTTTGTTGGTTCGTAAGAACCGGCTGGTTTTCCCTCCCCTGCTTCTTTTCCCACTTTAGACTTTGAATTTACTCCGCATATCTATCTAACTAACGACCACTACAAGCAACCTTGTCGATGACAGAGAAGAGGAACGCATCCTTTCCGAAGATTGTGGTCTGGCGTGCTGTGTAATGGAAGGCCGGCTGCCATTGTGCGGGCGGGACCAGCTACCGTATGTATTATCTTATTCCGTTAATTCTTATCTTTGGGCGAAAGACTATATAATAGACCAAAACTCGTATCAGACTTTTATGCAAGGTGCATAGATTAGACGTTATCTTGAGAGTGAAATTAATTAGGCGGTTGGTGCTCGCAGACCCTTGAGTCGTCAGTGTTTTACTGTGTCCCAACCCTTGGACTGAACACTGACTGAAGTATATCACATTGACGGGATGGAGTTTTCCTTTATACGCTTATTATATTTCCAACGGCTGCAGTCACAAGTTGGCATAGGCCGTGCCTCAGTCCATCACAAGACAGATATAATCCAACCTCGTATGCTTGTTTTATTAGCCCCCGAGAGATATATGACACGGCTACAATGATATTCCAGGTTGCTTACACGTTGTGTTGTACTAGTTGCTTGATGGAGGGGTGAAGTGCAACTCCTCGCGGGCTTGCATGGAACCGGCAAAATCTTTAGCACCCATATCAGCGGGCCGACTGAAACTTACCGTGGATCAGCGGCGAAAGTCCGCTTCTGGACTCCAGAGGGAGCCGCGGCCCTTCTCGCCCGTGCAGCGAATGGCCAGTTCCGCGTGGGCACCATAGTCACAATGGACCGTATGAGATCCCCTGGGCTTCCGGAGACGCAGGCGACGCGCGTCGTGCAGGTGGTAGGACCTAAGGCCATAGTGAACCGAGAATCTTTGGAAGCATTCTGAAAATTATCGGGTTTCTACTGGGACGTGGAGAGCGTGACGCTCCTGTACGAGACCGAGCTCACCGCGGCAATCACCTACGCATTTGCCTCTTACCGCAACCAGGCGGAAGAGGCCGTGAATGCAATCATGGGTCGAAAGGAGCGTGTGGATCTCTCCCCTGGAGAAAGGTCGTCACGAAGGAGTGCGGCATTTCCTGATTGGCAAAGCGGCGAAATCAGCTCTGTCGTTAACATCAATTTGACCGGGCAAGTTCGACTGTTCGCAAGGACGACCGATCGATGATTGCTTGAGGCGTGGCGTCAAAACAAGACCTAACGCGCAAGGAGAAGCGCCCTTGGTCTAGTGCCGTAAGTCTCTGCCCGAAGCTCGCCCATGGCGGTCAATCAACCCGCGAGACCACTTTTGCTAACACCTTACTTCGCAGAAAGAGCACTTCGGCATGCGGAGAGACCTCGAACCTTGGAGGAATCGAGGAACGCGAGGAGGACTCCGGGTGGATTTGACACTGCTTGCACCTACTAGGATATTCGTCGAATCCTGTGTCCGCGATCTTGTCGATGCTGGCGGGCGAACTTCACCAGCATACGTGCTTGCTTACTTGAATGACCTTTGTAACAAGCACTACCACCTTTCTCTCGCAAATTCTTCGACCTGGCCACGCCTCTCACCTTGGGTGACCTACAAGCCTTGATCATGATATGCGTACACACGATGCGTTTTCCCAGGTAGGAGTGGACATGAGAAGCTTGGGATGGACAGTCGGCAGAAAAAAACAATTATCAGAAAGGTTGATGAAGTGCTAGTCTCATACGACATGTGTTAAAATGCTTTCGTGTCTTTGTGCATGCGACATTTTTTGGATTTATCTTTAGGTATGCACAAGCCCAATGTCTGAGCTCCTCCATGATACACTCGGCCCGCATAAGTCTGCGTACTCGCATATTGATAAGGTGGATTCCAGATCACCGGTAAACTAGAATACTAGAATAAGCATATAGGAATAAGCAGCTCTGATGTTATACGCTACATTCGACGCTTATATCGGTGTAATTATTTCAATCACCAAAGATATACCGTTGTTTGCTGGACTGGTGGTGTGGAGGGAGACTTATGCGGGTTCTGTGTATCCAAATGCGCCAACCGTTATGCCCCCCAAGCTTCCATGAGCTCGAATAGACACCTAACATCGCTGATTACATGCTGCTTGACCACTACAGGGGTATCATCATTACTTCATTTCGATTTTGGCCCAAGCAAATATCCCGTCAACAACAACCGCCATTCTCAATTACCCACAGATTGCAACACATCGAGCGCCATCACTTCCGTTGCTCGGTTTGTATCCCCGGCTCCATTGATAGCTAGGAACATCTGATCAATATTTGAAAAGGCGAACCTCTCCCCCAGTACTGCCGAACAGGATCTTCTTGTTCCGCCGCGCGTAGTACACCCGCAGAATCGCGCACCCAGCCGCCACCATAAGAAGCAGAGCAGCGTTCGTCCAGTGCCCCGTCGGATAGCCCGCCTTTGCCTCGTCCGACTTGTAGGTCCACACGCCGACGATCTGGCCAGGAGCGCCCCCAAGCCCGATGTTTAGCGCGATGGCGAGACCAACTGAGGCGGTGCTGAAGATGTTCGACGATAGCCAGCCGAGTAGCGGCGGGATGCAGGCGAATGCGCCTGACGCGGCTATGATAAGGCAGCCGTAGCGAGAGGCGTATGCCTCGGGTGGTAGGGCGGCGGAAGCGATGAAGCCGATGGCGCCGACGGTCGCTAGGGCGGCTGAATGAAGGCCGCGAGCGTTGAAGTGGTCTGCTGACCAGGATGTAAGGATTTGTATGACTGTGAACTCGTCAGCTAGCTGCCAATATCTTCATGATAGATCAGACAACAGGTCAACTCACCATAGGCGACAGCATATGGCGGAACAGTCATTAGTTGCGCCTGCAGATCTTTATAGCCCAAGCCGGCCGTGATGGACGGAGTAAACAGAGACAGTGAGCTGAAAGGGACGGATATCCCAAAGTAGACGACATAATGGCCCCAGAGCCTCCAATCCGTCAGCGTCTCCTTGGCGTCCGCCCAGCTCATTGCCTTATGGTAGCCCTTGCTGCCTTCGATAGCAAGTCGCTGCACAGCGAGGTCTCTCTCCTGTATGGTCAACCACTTTGCATCTTCGGGATAGTCAGGCAAGAAGAACCAGACCACGAGGGACGAAAGACAAGATGGGATTCCTTCTAGGATGAAGAGCCAACGCCACGCCGAGAGCCCTCCCGCTTTGTTCATATGCCCCACTCCGTAGGCGATGGCGCCGCCAAAGGCACCGGCCAGCGTGGCAGATGCTAAGATGAAAGCCACGCGAATACTTCTCTCTTCGGACTTGTACCAGAAGGTCAGGTAGTAGACCAGGCCTGGAAATAGACCGGCTTCGAAAACGCCCAGCAGGAAACGCACGACCGTGAGAGAAGCGTAGCTACGGATGCCGCCAAGCCCCATGGTCAGGGCTCCCCACGCGAACATGAGGAACGCGATCCACCGCGACGGGCGCAGCTTCTTCAGCAGGATGTTTGAAGGCACTTCGAAGAGACCGTACGCGACCAAGAAGACCATGAGCGCGATTGTGAACTGGTAGTTGGTCACGTGGGCCTCGGTTATGAGATCGTCGCCCGTTGATGCGTTCATGATCTTGGCGTTGCCTATGTTCGAGCGGTCAAGATAGCATAGGAAGTAGATGCCGGCGGACAGCGGCACGATGCGCTTGTCCTGCTTCCAGCGCAATGCCTTCTCGGCCTCGGTGATGGGGCCATTGGCTTGGTAGGTGCCATCCGAAACCAACACATCCTACGGCCACGTTAGTTTCAGTGTATTTGACAGTAGCAGTGAAGTCTGTATCGCACACACCTCCTTGCCAGTTTCGACATCATCCATGTATTCTTTCTCGGCCATTGTGTTGGTTTGACCGGTCCCCGCCTGATGGAAGCTGTGCTGCGTTGCACGATCTCAGACTGTTTTCGAATTTGCCAATCGTGCAAGCTCCACACAGGATGTCGTCTTACACTCTTGGAGAACATGGAAGAGAATTTCACTCTGGGGACGTCCCGACAAGAGTGGCCCAGAGATAAAGTACCTCAGCCGAAAAGGTGGGAAGGTGTGGGCTGTGGAAGTGGAGAACCTGGAAGGACGGTTGAGATTGGACCGTGCAACATTGAATGCGGGGGATCCCATGGGGCAGTGGGGGCGCTACCTTATTGTGGGACTATAATTTCGATATCCCCACGATCCACTTGGCTGTAGCCTGTCAGGTCACGTTTATCGTCTCTGGAGGGGCTTCATCTTCTGCCTTCTCCTGGATAGGCATAACTCGGGACAAAGAACCACGAGACACGCAGTGCCATAGTATGATGCTTAAAGGAGTGTATTCAGCTGGATCGCATACTAGCCCAAAGGCAGACAAGTTCCATATCGATGCGGGTAAGTGAGTGTTCCGCTTCCAGTCCACCTCCAGTTCTCTTCTCCTCCCCTCCCGCGGCTCATTCTCAATCCCCAAACCATGGTGTGACACGCGCAAGTCCTCCTCAGGCCTTTCCGGTGATGGCCGGATGGTCAGGAATCACTCGCGCATCCCATCTGACGATGTCCGCACGACAGACTAAATCTGGTCACGCCCCGGCGAGGCAATAAAGCCCCATTGCATATTCGACACAGGTTGGGGTCCCATGGCCCCTTCACGGAGCTATATGGGTATGAGGATCTGAGGCCGCCATCAACTTGGCCAAAGTCCATCCATACCCTCTCCCACGAAGGGTGGCATGAGCCAATTCTATGTCCGATATGCGATGGGACTCTTCCGGGCCTCACCGGAGCGTTGCCGGACCAGGTCTGGCACAGGACTTCTGAAGCAGACTACCTTAGACTCGAGGGATCATCTGTATTACGTTAGCCACAGTGCATGGCTGGCGATCGTCGGTGAGGGCTCACATGCCTAGGTGAGAAGGTTGTGGATCAGGCCGAGACGAGCCATCACTCGACCAAGAGCCTCTGAACCGCGTTCGAGATGGACCGCACCAGGAAGAGCTTCCACCGTGGTTGCCATCATGCCACCCGAAACCTGAGTCGTGCCAGGATTGAGAATGACGCATTCGTCGAGGCCATGAGCAACCCCAACCTGGGCCAGGTTTTCGTTTGCCAAGAGGTCGCGAATTTCAGTCCATTGCCCTTGTGTGAGGTCAGTACGGGCAATGTGAAGACAAGATACTTTCATTCGCCTACCCTTGGATGAACCGTTCTTACCAATCCAGAAGGATGAGAAGTACGCAGCTGCCTGTGTGTCTCCATGGACGGCCAGGAAATTGTTCTTGCGAACACTTTGACCCTGAAAGAAGGTCAAGCCAGCAGTGTTTAGGGACTCCACGCATGGACTCTTGTCGTGAGGGAACGTGAAACCGAGACATTCCTCAACACGCTGAACCTTCTCCTCTACCATTGTAGCCATGGTACAGACGAGGGGATTGATGTGTGTGGGCGGTTGCGAGAATAGATAGAGCTTCGAAATGTCTCAAGTGCTGCTGATATTGATAGAGAAAACAACGGACGAAGACGGTGATGAAGGAAGGGTTGGGAGAAGGTTGTGGGAACATGGCACCTGCGATCCCTAGAGTATATATATCTGACCAGAGCCGCGAAAAAGGCAGGTTCGAGCCCAACAGTATTGTACGACGGCGGCCCGCATGAAGCATCACCATACGGAGCAATGGAGCTTCGATCTCGGTAAATTCTTCCCAAGTGATTCGCCAAGTTATATTGCAGGTACGGCAGCCTACCTGATAACCCCTCACGAAAACCAAGGGCGGCTTGCGGTCGACCATTCATAGGAGCATCTGTCGAGCGACTCCGAATGACGAAAGCTGTTGAACAGTCTTGAGCATGCGAGCACCCTCAGGCTTCAGCTTGCAAGCTAGCCAATGATGCTGCGCCGCGTACCCGCTGCAGACCCGGATGCCGGAGTCAACGTCCAGCTGGACTCTTCAACGCCGAGCGTCCAATCTGACCTGCTTTGGCCAAGTCTTCGCTGCTTGACATAAATGGCAGCTAGGGTGAACCAGAACAGGAACGAAGACACTGCCGGTATGAGGCTTGCAGAAAAGAGCCTCCCTGGTAGCCTCAGGTGGCTTCTTATCGAGATTATCTCTTATCAAGCCACAAGTAGATGCGGCTGGTGCTCTAGGTAATCTTTGCAAGCAAGCCACTCGCGCTAAGCAGGGGGACTCTGGTTGTATTTACAATTCCTCCAACTTCCAAGGCCCCGAACCAACTTTCTCAGGCTCGGCTTCCCCGGCTTTCGCGATACGACTCCGCCAGTCCGACTCCGCACACCGTCCCTCATCATTCATGGCGGCTCGCAAGTCAAAGCTGAGGCCGCCTGACGAGGGAAACAATTCTAAACAAGGGATACTTCGTTACCCAGGGTAAACTGACCCGACAAAAGTCTCCGCCCGACCCGCCCCTCATCCAATATATCGAAACAACGCGTTGTTAATCACCCTGGCAAGCGGAGACTTTTGTCAACCTACAGTAACTGCCCAATTACCGGACCCTCGTGGCGCACTGGGACGGAGACATATGCGGGGTAATCGGAAGACCCCTGGACCGTTTCCATCCACGGACTCGGGATAACCCATCTACGAATATATCCGGATGTGGCCCGCAAAGGGAGGGAGGGGATAGTGTGGTAACGGCTGTGATTAGTTAGGTGGCTTGAAATTTAACTCTCCAAAAGCTAAAAACATCAGTTGTCTATCATACTTTTTATCTCGGCAAAGAGCTATTTTTTCGCGAGTCTGACACAATATCCAACGGTACTGATCACTAAGGACCATCAGAATGCGGTGTTGTGGCATTTTGCTGGGTTTCAGTTGCTTGAGTTCGGCTGCGTCAAGCTATCCTAGGTCTTCGAAGGTGGAATCCTGCGAGGAATTCTCCTCGTCTGTTCGTGGGACAGCAGCAGCGAACACTCTAAACGCCACATACGCCCCGGCGCACTCCCTCAATATCAGCGGCATACTAAACGAGTTCCCGCTATGTCGCCTGTTCGGTGAAATCCACTATCATGCTAACCGCTCGGTCGTTTTCGAACTCTGGCTGCCGGACACATCGAGCTATAACAGCAGATTCCTTGTCGTCGGTACGTGCATTTTGAAGTCAGCCATGTCCATAAGTAGCCTGCTAAAATCCCAAACAGGAAATGGCGGTATGGCTGGAACCATACTGGAGAGTGACATGATGCAAGGTCTCAATGACGGTTACGCAGTGGCGGGAGGCGACTCCGGGCACCGCGCATCCGACAATAACGGTGGCAACGGCGAACCGGGAGTCTACCTCCCATACCTGCATGACCGTGATCAAGTCACAGCATGGATTCGCGACTCTATCGCCTACTTCACCCCGGCAGCGAGGGAGCTCACCACTACGTTTTACCGCACAGCGCCCAGACACAGCTACTATCAGGGCTGTTCAACCGGAGGCGCTCAGGGTATGGCCCTTGCCGAGTTTCACGAGCACCTGTTCGACGGCATCGTGGCTGGATGCCCGGGCAATTGGTATTCCCACCTAGCGTTGTCGTTCCTGTGGAATTCCCAGGTGACGAAGGTAAGGCATGCTTCACCATGCTTTCCAGACTGAACGCTGACGGCCGCAGGGCCCCGGATTCCTACCACAGTCTGCACTCAGTCTCATCACGAACGCCGTCCTCGCTGAGTGCGATCTCATCGACGGGGTTGCAGATGGAGTACTCGAGAATCCTTTGCTGTGTCATTTCGATATCACCTCGCTGCAGTGCCCTTCATCCACATCGAACTCTTCGACCTGCCTCACTTCAGCACAAATGGAAGCGGCGCAGAAGATCTGCGCCGGACCAGTCGATACGCGAGACAATACATCAGTTTATCCGGGGTTCTCCTTCGGAAGTGAGACGGAGTGGCTGTATCAAGAAGTAGCCCTAGCAGACGCCTTTTCGATCCCCATCCTACAGAACATGGCCTTCGACGACCTATCTTATGACGAGAGCGATTTCAACTGGGGCACTGATATCGACGTAGTAAACGACAAGGTCGGCTCGCTCATCGACGCGAATAGCCCTAACCTTATGTTTTTTAAAGAGTCGGGCGCAAAGCTGCTTATGTACCAAAGCTGGGCGGACCCCTACAACGCCGCCATCTGGCCGATCCACTATCACAAGCAGGTAGAAGAGACATTTAATGGCGATATCGGTGACTGGTTCCGGCTGTTCATGATCCCGGGCGGCGGGCATTGCGGCGCGGCCTCGAACTACCCCCAGGTCCCTGCGACGTGGCATGCGCTCAAGGCCGTCGTGCAATGGGTCGAGACGGGCGTCCCGCCATGCGAGATGCTGGGAACGAATCCGACGGATGAGAGTCTGAGTCATAAGACGAGCAAGCTTTGCCCGTGGCCTCGGACTGCGAAATACCAAGGTGGGAGTTCGGATGATTGGAACTCGTACGTGTGTACATATTGAGCGGATGGCTGGGATGATTTACGTACAAAAAAGGTAAAGGTCCCTCAAGCGCCAGGGGGTCAGCCTACCTCATGTATGTGATTTAGCGAAAGAGATCACATACTGGAATATCTAGGGTTATTGCTCGCAGAAACCCATCGATACGCCTCGTATACTGTTTTCTCGTACTTACTTGAGAGATGGATGATAAACGAGCTTGTAAAGTCCCTTTGAATATGTAGCTCAGCATCCAGGGGTGTAGGCCTTATGCTAGCAATCTTAGTATGGACAGGCAATGCCATTGAACTCATCGTAACCCTACATCTCGCAGGCTCAAAGGGCTCTGTGGCAAATGAGCAGGGCGCATTTGTCCCGGACGGTGTGGTCACGGAGTAAAGTGCTTTCGTCGGTCTCAATAAACGATCTTTCAAGCAGGTCTTCTCTAATCCTCGTCGAAATTCCTCAGTTGCATTAGTAAACCATCCCAGACGTCGTGAAGCACCGATTATAGCCTGTTCCAGAACTCCTCTATCAATTGCGCAACCTCCTGTACCCGCTCTCGCACAACCGCATGACCGACGTCCGGAACAACCTCAACATTACGTAGCCCAAGACCCTGTAACTCTTCCGCGCTACTCACATCGTCCTTCTCCCCCATAATGCAAAGGTGTTTGATCCCAGTCCTTGCAGCCTTAGCGAACTCAGCATGCCGGTCCAAAGCACCGCCATCCCTAAAGATAGCCACCACGCTCGCCGCATGCCCCTCATGCTCCCTCAACTCCCAATCCTTCACAGCCTTCGCGACCACCTCTCCCCGTCCAACCCTCTCCTTCCAATCCTTCGGCACGACCAACTCGCCCCCCTCCAACCAGTCCAAAATCCACGCCCGCGCCTGCTCCTCCACCCCCTCGCCACCGCGCAAATACCCCCTCTGCACCTCACTAAAATTCCCCGACCGGATCAACCCCGCGGGCGCAATTATCACCATCGAAGCCACGAGCTCGGGCCTCGCAGCCGCCAGGCTTGCGACCGTCGAGGCGCCGAAGGAGTAGCCCACGAAATGCGCGTCCGCCCAGCCCAGCTCGTGCAGCAGCGCCTCGACAAGCGCGTGGAATAGCGGCGGATCATGCGGCGCCAGCGGCGTATCTGAGAGCCCGTGGCCCCAGAGGTCGACAAGCACGATCTGGGCGTGTGGGAAGCGCGTGGAGAGTTCGCGTGCCAGGGGCTGCATGCCAAGGGCGGGGGTTTGGACGCCGTGGATCAGGAGCACGCGGGGGGTGGGAGGGGTTTCGCTGCTGGTTGTGGGTTGGCCGGCTGTGGCCGGGAAGATGTAGTAGGCCGCTCGGCCGTGACACGTGCGCAGGTACGACGCTTGGGGAAGCAGGTTCCCGAAGGTGGCGACGAAGGCCTCTTCGGACGGCGCGGGGATTGATTGCGGTTCGTCGCCGGGCTTGGCCGCCGTGCCGGGGCGGGGCAGCACGAGTGTGGCGTTCGGCATCGTCTCTTATGGCGTTGGTGAGCAGGACGGATGTCAAGGCAGGTACAATAGAAAATTTAGTAGACACTCAAGGTATTCAAGATGGAGCAAATCTACATGTATATGAATGAGAATGAATGACTTGGAACCTGAAGATAAGGTCGTCGGAACGTCGCCGACACTAGGTCAGCTAGACCCACATCACCCCATTGGCACAGCCTCACACATATCTAACTATTACCCATTTTTACCCCTTTCCCTTCTAATAAACAGCTCGTGAAAGCACGCTGGACTTGCAGTTCCCTTTCCCCTAATTGACAGTCATAGGAGTGGACTAGGAAAGACCGAAATGGACAGTCGGCAGAACAAATACATATTAGAAAAGGTCGATGGAGTACTAGAGGACGGACACCCGCAGCTCCCAAGAACAAGACGACGCTTCTATTAATCGTCATTAGGTACGTACGAACGTTGTGTGAATTGTTTCGTGGTTTATACGAGCGAGAATCTAGGACTTCTCTACGTACACGACTTGTGCACAGCTGAAAATAAAATACTAAAAAATTTAACAACGCTTTCAGCAAAAATTAAACCCTGCACCTAGTGCAGAGTCAAAAAGAGTTCGGACCAAACCTATTCTCTAATGCGCCTGCCCTGTTTCGAAGCAAGTGAGCCAATTCGCACCCCATCAGCTGAGATCGGGTCAGCCTCATTTGGTGAGAGTTTTTGCATTTGTTTTGTCCTATAAGCCTTTCCCCAACCCCCCGTCGTCTGAGCTGCTCTAACCTGTCAGTCGTCTAGGCGACTTTCCTGGAGCCTGAATGGGATCATTAACGTCCCATGATACATAAAAACAATACTATAGGCGCCAGAAAACAACCGTATGAGATACTTCGCAGACAAGACCTCGACAACATTACCACCACTCCCACCGACAACATCACCATCACCCCTACCGACAACATGTCCAACCCTGCTGAAAACCCCGTTCTCGCTCCCAACGCCTCACAAATGCGGCACCATAGCCAGCCAATCCGGCATTCAAAACACCCCAATCGGTACCCTCCTCAAGCTCGCAAAGCTCTTGGCCACAATGAACAGCCGCGCCAGCGCATACGCACCCAACGGGGCATATCGCATCGCCTTCTGCGACCTAACAAAGAACCGCGGCCCCAGCTTCGCCCAGAACCCGCACCGCAGCACAATCTGCTCGCCCCAAAAGCAACACCACTTCAGCACCACCACAAGTGGAATCGCCGTGATTATCAACATACACGCCACCCGCCAGCATATCTGCTCCCCGAAGGTCGGGAAGGTGAAATTACACGCCGCGAGGTGGATGCCGCCGTACAAGGGCGGGAGCGTGAGCAACAGGGCCTGCAGCAGGGGATGTGAGGACATGGACGAGACGAGGTCCCACGTGTGCAGGCCGGACTTAAGGGACGGCAGGTTGCTGGTCTGCAGAGTGAAGGCGTCGTGGTAGTGGCGGTCGGGAAAGCGCGGGCCGGGGGTCGGGTGGAAGAGGTAGGGCGCGGTGGAGGTGTCGCCGTGCATGGTGAAGAGGAAGTCGAGCATGGCCTTCCAGCGTGTCTGGTCGGTATAGTCGGCTACGAGGACTTCTTGGGGTTCGAGTTCGTCTCCACCTGCGGCCGGTGGCGTCAATGCGGATGTTGCATTCTCAGGTTCGGATTTCTCGCAGGTCTGATCGGGGTCGGGGCTGTGATCGCGCTGGAGCAACCCAATGCCGCACTTGAGTGCCTGTCCAGGCTCAAGCGTGACGGGTCCCCATGCTTCATCTACCCATTCCACGGGCACGGGCTCGCGCTTCTCGTCCAGTTGGCAGGTGAAGACGTTAGGATTGCTCATCTGCGCGGACAGGGTCTTGGGGTACCACGTGGCGCTGGCAGCCGTCCAGGCTGGGTAAATCATGAGTTGCGTGTTCTGGAGGTCGTAGAACTGCTCCTGGACCATGAAGCCAAATAGGTGTTCGAGGGGTCCTGGCTTGATGACTTCGGGATCGCTGATATCTAGTGGTTTCTGTGCCTCTGCTAGTGTTATGGCTTGTGGTTCAGGCCAGGCATAGTGGCTCACCTTCAGCCAAAATAGATACAGGTAAAGAGCGCAAAAGGCATGAACCGCGGTATGAACCTCTAACAGACACAGCGGAAGCCCGTACACCTTGCGCGTGATGCACTGGGTTACCATCCAGACCAGCTGGCCCACAACAAGACCCTTCTTGAGACCGTCGGACTTGCTCTTGTCCACGATGGTAGCCAGTGGTACGCGAATGAATTGACCGTGTTTGGCCAACTCGAGCAGTCCTCGAGGCGACAATATGAGCTTTTCCGGAATTGAGTCGTCGATAAGTATCCGAGCGTGATATGACTGGTACCGTCGAACATTATCCGAAAGCAGCTGGGTTACGTCGACCTGCAGTCCGCCCATGAGGACGAAGAATGTGTACTCGAGCGTGAAGTCCTCGTCCGTCTACTAAAGTCAGTAAGTCGGTAGAGGACTAGAGTGCGCAGGACATGAAGCCCGGCTTACACTGTGTGTAAATCTACGCTGTATCTCGTTCAGCTCCTTGACGAGGGCCCTGGCCTCTATGAACTGCTGCGCAGCGACGTAGAGGACCATCTCTGGCGCGACGAGGGCTATGGCGATCCATTTTGCTTTAGCCTTGTAGACGGCCTACGGTCCGGATTGACCGGGCATGTCGAGGTGCAGAGCCGTGTAAACACATGCCAGGAGGGTGCCCACGCAGCTCACGAGGATGCCCGACGTGCCGCGGAAGCCGAGGTCGTTCACCCATGGCGGAGCGATGATAGGAGATAAAGCGGCGGTGTCATTCTGGTGATGTATGATGAGGGTGAAGACGGGATTGACTTCTGAGGAATTCGTTGCCATATTGCCATTTGTGTCTGTGGAGGACATCCCCTGAGGCATGGGGCCTCGGCCATGGGTGTGTTTAGCTACATCGGCTTTTGTCTCGTCTCGACTCGGTGAGGCGAGGCGAGTGCCTGGGTACGAGGGCGGACGATTGTAGGACTCGACTATCCAACCAGCGAGGAAGCAAACATCACGACAAAGGATGCGCGTTCAAGTCCAATCCCTGGGTTGTACAAACTTATGGAGTGTTGGCGTTGGCCGTGGTCGTGTATCGTGATACCAATGAACAAAGAACAGTTGGATGCAAATGATGTATTTCGAAACGAAGCCACCTAGACCGGCCAACCAACCTGTGCAACTCACACCGTCGAGTGACAGTTCTGTTACTCCTGTATACGCTGCATGCGCTCACCGAGGTCGCCTTGCGACCATCAGCGTAGCAAGGGTGTTTTTCCCCGTACGGCTTGAGGATCCCCTTCCGAAGCATACCCTTCGCACTCTCCAAGCAAAACTGCCTCTGTGCAAATGATTTGTTCTCGAAGCAGCCATGCAAAGCACAGAGCGGCTCCAGGACCCAACAAGATGGAGAGACCGGCTAGGAACAACGCGGGCACCGAGCCACACTCGACCAGCACCCAGTAGACCACGGTAGCGGCGAGGATGGAGATGTCGATATGGATGAACACAATTGTGCTACGTGTCATCTCCCTGCGATCGTCGCGACTGAACATGTTCCATATCAAGAAGCCGTGCGCCAGGACCGAGCAGATAAATGGCACCGCATACACCATGAGTGACGAGGCTCGGTATGACTCAAGATGAAAGGGTTTGTCGTCATTCGATAGCCTGCTGACTGCAAATCTGACGGCGATTCGTGCCAGAGAGATAAGCAGCGGGAACAAGAGCCAGACAGCGATTGAGATGGGCTCGTTCAATGTGAGCATTAATATGCTGGGCACGTAGAATCCCAATGTCATCGCGATGGGAATGGCATAGGCCTCAGCCTTGCTCTCAAGGCCTCGCGATGCTTTCACGGAGTCTCGATCCAACGCATCTCCTCCCGCCCTTCCTGCTTCTAGGCTCTCATCGCGAACCTCTTGCGCCCTCCTCAAGAATGCCGGCACAATGAGCAGGTCCCAAACCAATGTGCCACCAATCAGATTGAATACCAGCCAGCCCAGCGTCGGGTTCCGAATAACCCAGCTACGGCGATTGCACCTGCGTGCCGATTCGATCAGATTCACCGTGAGCAGGGCGCCGACGAAGGACAGGACGACGCTCATCTGCGCAAAGGTGCGCACCGACGCGTTCGCGAAGCGGAGGAAGCTGATGATGAAGCAGGCGGGCGCCCCGATGACGGGGATGCGGGATATGCCCCGCAGCCGTGAGCGGGAGTGGCATTGCGAGTAGAGTGCTGGAATGTTGAGGTCTGAGTGCGTGGCTAGTAGGATGACGGCTGTGAGGGCGAGGTACACGGGGACGGCTAGGAGGATGCGGAGGGGCAGCCTGTGGACTTCGAGAAGAGGGCGTCTGCGCTCCTTGGTGGTGGATGCCATTGCGATACTTTTGGTTCTCCAGGGAGGGAGGTAGGATGTGAGGTAGGATGTGAGGTTGGAGATGTGTTTGAACTTTGAGGCGACCGAGATATCGTCGGTGGAATATTGTAAGCAACGACGAGGTAAGATTACTGCACGAGGTCGTCTGTGCCCGTCTGTCCGGTAGGCACTGCCCCTGAAATGAAATTGGGGGTGGAGCTATTGTAGCATCCTGCGCACATCGCATACCGGCTTCACTCCTTGGATTTACAACAGGTCTCAAAGGTATCGGTTTTGTCCGGGTATGTATTATCAAAGATTGACGGATGACGATATACTGGACCTCATACACTGCACTCCCATAAGGGAGCCTTCGATGCTGCACATGGGATGTTTTCCTCGGTATTCTTTCACAAGCGTCAGCTTCAAATAAGGTCGGCCTATGACGTGAAAATAGAACCAGCGCAATAGACGACAGTGCTAAATCCAGAAATGTATGTCCGAATGCCTGCGGCACGGAGCCTACGGGAGTCAATTTCCACCGAGGTCACCTAGGTCCAACAAGATTGACAGATTGCACAGTCCATCTCCTCGAGGGGCTATTGCCACCACAGGCAGTTCAACGATACAGAGTATAATCCCTGTAACCAGTCAACCGCTATGAAGAAGGCCAGTAGGAACCGGGTGATGATGAAAAAGACCACTTGGATTGTTCCCACTGGTACTTGCACAGGATACCGTTTGATATCGGGCCGCAAGCTGCTGAGAGAATGGGACCTATGCTCTCGGTATAGAAGGGTGGTTTTCGTCGGGATTGGCTCGATGATCTATGTCTTTGTACACTGTACATATTTGTTGGATGTTTGTACATATTCCTACACTCCTGCGCCAGGCACCTCCCAGTCAATGCGCGACTGTCTTTGGCCGTATCTTCTTCATTATTCTTTCGCGTACGACTCGGCTCGCGACTTTGCCACCGTTCTGCAGAGCAACGGCTCCGACGAGGGCGTATATGGCACCCGACATGATGACGTTGAATCCGGAACCTTTGATGTTTTCGGGCTTTGACCAAGTGTTAGCAACAGCGTGATAGACTCTCAATAGGTAGATCGTACCATGCGAGGTTTCCACCGGACGACCTCGGTCAGGCCAGTATCCAAGGCGATTTTGGTCAGCTTGTCCAGGGTAAAAAGATCATTAGGCTGGTTATTGGTGAGGTTGTCAAGACTCCGGAGGGCGGGATCTTCGTATGGTTGTCGTCGGTCTGCGTATGGATCGTTCTCCGGTTGAGCATAGTCCGCCGGGGAGGTGATAATAGATTGTGTGGCTTCCATGGCACATATTTGTCGACCTAGAACCTCCGTTAGCCATTGCCATAGACATTGGCAGAGCGAATAAACGCTTCAACCTACCAAGGAAAGCCAGACGATCATTGAACCCTCTCCTCCCTTGGTCGAAGCTCTTGTGTGTCACGCCAAGCCACTTCAGCTCGTCTGGGAGCATCCTCTCGCCGTCGCGCCCAAGGAAGTTATTCAACGCATCGTCGAGCTTCTGGGCATCTTCGTTGACCTTCCACCTCGAGCGTGCAGGGTCCTTTGTTATGTGCGGCGAGAAGGGTGCCTTCATGCGCTCAGGGGTCTGCATCCATCGTGGGATCTCAGCGGCCTGCTCTGAAGATCGGGTCGCTGATGTCGCGAACGAGCATGTCGAGGCGATGGGTCGGGATAGGTGGCCGGCAGGTCGGCTTCTGCAGTGGCGTAGAGCTTGGCGAGAGAAGCTCGCAGCTGATCGGGAAGTATTGAGGGCCATTGGGGCGGGACAGTTGGCTATTTCATCGCATCGTGGAGATTTCAAGGAGTGCGAGCGATGATGATAAGACAAGTCGCGTTGTAGAGCTCCAATGGACTTTTTCGCAGGTGGGTCTCTTGCTCGGGCCCAGCCAATTGGGAATCGCCGGGGATATGAGCTGGAAAGCGCCGACAACAACGCCTGTCAGTGGGCCCGTGCTTTCCCTTGCCCATTTACACGTCTTGACTCTTTACGAGATTGGAAGCTCCCTCTAACGCGTCGCAGTGTGTGCCGATCGCTCAACGCCGACAGTGATATACCCAATTTCAGCTCCGGTATATTCACTCTTCCCAGTCACGGGAACCGCAGTTTTGGTCAATAGCGTCAAGGACTTTACTTGAATTCCCTTTCCATCAAACCAATCGCTATTTCGAAATCTCTCATACATATCCCCCAAAACCTAACGATGTCGAATCCGAGACAAGCCATCAACGCCTCTGATCGCAGTCGGGCTGTGAAGTTCAGGAACCAGCTGGCCCAGGAACTTGCCAGCGTTCTGCCCAAAGACTTCGAGTTTAAAGCGTACCACCTATCGACAACCCCTGCGGCCACCGAAGCCCTTTGCTATCCTCCTGCGTTGAAGTCGTCTGCCGACCCCAAGAACCCTGCCGAAGCACAGTCGAGGGATAGGCGGCCGAGCAAGCCTTTGAAGACATACTGCGAAAAACATTTCCTGGCTGTTTCAGTCGAAGCTCCAAAGAATGGAGGGCAGTCGAAGAGGAGCGAAGTCCTAGTCCTTGGGCTCGAGATCTACATTTATACCACTGCTTTCAACACCACTATCTTCGTTGCAAAGGCGGACTCGACTGGATACCTACATCTCCTGAACCTACCCAAGGGAGCATCCTCCCCAATTCGCGAAGTTACGGCAGTGTTTCTCAAATTCCTCGTTACCAGTCGAAGACGCAATTCAAAGCAATTAGTTGTCAACCTCTTTGCACGCGCTCAGTCGCAATACCTATTCCCGGGCAGCGTCAAGAACAGTGGCAAACACGTCCTGGATGACAGGCGCTTGATCAAGTGGTGGTGTCGGGTCCTAAACCCACTTGTCGAGAACGATGCCACCACAAGAAAAAAGCAGGAGACATGGAACCGCGTACATGGGTATCTGATTATACCTGGGCTAGATAACTATGAGACGAGAGCCTTCCTTCCTCGGTCCTCTTTCAATTGGACCTTCGATCATCCTCTTGAGCACATCTCCCTATACACAAAGGACGCATCGACGTTCGACCGCGAAATTCCCGCCAGGTGTCTCATACCGACGTATCCGGATGATCCCAAAGCCCGATTCGTGCAAGAGCTGGAAGACTCGACATCGGAGAAGGCCAAGTTGGTTGGCGGTTGGAAGAGCCCAAGAACATTAGAACAGTTCTGGGAGATGATGGCCTTTCGGCAGGAGTGTTCCAGTGGACGGATGACGGGATTCATATGGGTTGTTTTTGACCCCGAGTCTACGACGACGGCACCAGGGGGTTCGGCTTCGAATGAGCGGAGCTCTGCTGCGTTCATGTCTACACCAAACGCTTCCTTCTGCGCACCTGCGGTCGAGACAGCGTGTCCTTCTACCCCAGTGATGAGTCAACATGATATTGTCTCACTTGTTACTCCAACTTCTACACCGTCGAAACCCGCTACAGCGGCGCCTGGCAATCAGTCACGCAAGCAGCCTACTAAGAAGGTGCTCACAGGGCGGATTCTTCCTCGGAAGCCCCAGATCAAAAGGAAACACCGAACGAAGTTTCCCAAACAGATTGAAACGCCTCACTATTACTGGCCCGAGGAAGGTCGAGGACAGGTAGTACTCAACGAGAGCGGCTACAATAGGGCTATTGAACTACTACTACACCTAGATTTTGGCACTCTGGAACAGGCGGTTACAAGCACGGCCAGGTGGACCAATGAGGTGAACATGAGCCAAGATTGGGCCCTCAACGTCATCGGTTGTAGGGAAATAACTTCTCAGCCGCCATCCAGCAGCGCCGGCACAGTCAATAACCTGTCGGCGATGACCAGAAGGAAACGACCAGTTGCAGAAGCGAGTGCCGGCTCCTCCCCTGCTCCTGTGAACGTGCTCGGCAGTGGGTTAGTACGTAAGAAAGCAAAGCTTGAGGCGGGCGACAACCCGTCAACGCCCGCAACAGGCGGCATGCCTCGATCGACTGATACAGAGCCCAGAGTCAATGTCCTCGGAGCCGGACTAGTTCGAAAGAAGGCGAAGCCATGTTGAGATGATTTAGAAAAGTCACGGGTTTAGGTATGCATTAGCGGCGCAGAAGCACGAGCGGCTTGGTTGCTATTACCGGTGGCGTTGGGCATTATGGATTGGCTAGGAGGTAGGTAGTTTGGCGGTTGAATTCCGATATGGTCTGCATGTCTTGATGACAACGACTTCAATAGTCACGCAGTGGTGCTTTAACACTGGTAGCACGTTCCGCCTCGATGGATGTGAGCTGTTCCGAAGATTCAGTCATAAGACCCGGTGATGGGTACCTGGTGCCTGGAGGCTCTTCAAGTGACATTCGGTCGAAGTTAGGGGCCGTTGGGGGCCACGGCATATCAGTAGGCAACAGGGAGGATCGGCACCACACAAGGTCGCTGATAACCAACCAGGGTCCTTCCTCCCTCCTCAGCTTCAACAATGTCAACCCCTAGATTCTATGCAGTCAGCAGGCAGAGAGCCTGAATGAAGCTTCCCTTTGCATGGCGCTGTCTGTGGTGCCTGGGATGCCATACATGCCATATGGGTACCAAGCTTATACCGCCAGGCAACACACCGGGTTGTCGTGCGGAGGCTTGCTCCTTCTGACCACGACCAGGCAGGACCTTGCGCAGCACCCTGAAGTGGCTATACTGCTGCACTTCGGATCTCGATGCTGCAGCTTGGCGGCGTCTCTTACGAATTGTCTCCCTGCAAGGATGTCACCCCCCCTTATAGCCAACACTGGCTGGGATGTCTATAAAACCAGCGGAAGTCCAGGTGAAATTGTAACGAGTCAAGCCGCTCTCGGTCTCAGGAACCTTGTCTGCCTTGTCTATCCTAAGCTGCTCATCGGGCCGTCTTGTCCTTGTTACACTTCCGCATCGTAACCATGCCCCCCAAGAAGAGAACGAAGGCCGGAACCGGCAGCGGGGTAAAGAAGCAGAAGACAAACGCGGGCGCCAAGAAGGCTGCACAGCCATCAATTCCTGTCGATGAAGCCTTTAATGAGGGTGGTATGTCATGGTGCATGTCATTCTTTCGATTAACGAGCGACAGTTGACCCGTCTAGCAGGCAATGTCTATGTCCACATCGACGACGATGAGACGATCTGGGATGCTTCTCTGAATCTGAGCAATGTTTCTGGGAACAACAACAAGGTAGAACCAATGCCCTTCTTGTGCTTGTTTGGTTCCAGCGCTGACTCCTCTGTAGTTCTACATGGTGCAGCTTCTTGTGGATGACAAGAGCGACACCTATTACGTCCACACTCGCTGGGGCAGGTATGAAGAGCCCTCGTCAATTAGACCATTTCTTCCTTCCCAGGACTGATAGCTCACCAGGGTTGGCGAGTTGGGTCAAGTCAAGACTATGAGTTTCGAAGACATTGACGAGGCAAAGGTCGAATACAACAAGAAGTTCAAGGGCAAGACCGGCCTGGAATGGGAGAACCGCGGGGACGAGCCCAAGCCGAAGAAGTACACCTACGTCGAAAGGGCATATGAAGACGAAGATGATGCCGAGAATGACGAGTCGGATGATGGATCCGACAGTTGCAGTACGGCCAAGAGCGGCCTTGACATCGCCACTCAGAGGCTCATGGAGCTGATCTTCAAGTAAGCCAACAATAGTCCTATGTTGGATACGACTATCCGTACTGGATGGATCTGATCTATTCCACAGCGAGAATCACTTCAACTCGGTGCTCGAAGAGATCGGGTATAACAGCGACAAGCTGCCACTGGGGAAACTCGGCAAGGCCAGCCTGCAGAGCGGCTTCGAGCAGCTGAAAGAGCTGGCGAGCCTCATCAAGCACCCCAGCCTGGCCAAGAACAAGTACGACAAGGATCGAGGCGAAGTACACATCACCTCCCTTTCCATACCCGACATGCCACTGACAGTCGTACGTACCTAGGTCATTGAAGAGTGGACGAACAAGTACTACTCCACGATCCCGCACGCCTTCGGTCGCAACAGGCCCCCCTTAATCGACAATGACGACCTTCTGCGCAAGGAAGTCGCCATGCTCGACACGCTGACCGACATGGAAGTCGCCAACACGATCATGCGCGCGCACGACACCAAGTCCAAAGACGCCGCCTCGGTCAACCGACTAGACGCGCACTTCCGCGGACTGCAGTTGAAGGAGCTGCAGGCCCTCGACCACAAGTCCGCCGAGTACAAGGAGCTGCAGACGTACCTCATCGACTCGAGCCACAGCTCGCACGGCCTCAGGTACCGCCTGCAGGACATCTTTCGCGTGGAGCGGCCCGGCGAGCACGAGAGGTTCGAGAAGAGCCGCAAGACGCTGAAGGATTCGCGGAGGCTGCTGCTGTGGCACGGGTCTCGCACTACGAATTATGGCGGTATTCTGTCGCAGGGCTTGCGCATTGCGCCGCCGGGTAAATCATGCCTTCCTCGATCGATGCCTTCCTTTTACCCTACCCTTACCCCCCGTCCCGTCCCGTCTACACTTCTCGGGCGCCACCGAGCTGACAACCCCAACCACCCAGAGGCCCCCGTGAGCGGCTACGCCTTCGGCAAGGGCGTCTACCTCGCAGACCTGTCGTCCAAGTCGGCCAACTACTGCGTGTCGTCGCTCAGCGGCGGCGTCGGCCTGCTGATGCTGGTCGAGGCCGAGCTGTCGAACCCCATGTACGAGATCGACTCGGGCGACAGCGGCGCCGCCGAGGCGGCCAGGAAGGCCAACTGCGTCGCGACAAAGGGCGTCGGCCGCACGGGCCCAGGGAAGTGGAAGGATGCGGGGTGTGTGAATGGGGCTTTGGAGGGTGTTAAGATGGTGAGTTCTTACCTTTTCTCTTTGTTTGGTGGTTTTGTGGACGAACGGGGTGGGAGAGAGGCTGGTGATGGCGATGACAGACTGACTGTGAATAGCCCGATGGAAAACCAGTTGACAACAAAAGCCATAACGGTGGGTTCCTGATGTACAACGAGTACATATCCTACAACGTGGAACACCTGAAGCTCCGCTACCTGTTCAAGGTCGCTATGTGATGGAGACTTGGAACGACGAGGAAGACAGCCCAGGGGCGCCAAGTCATGGATTGGCGGATTCAATGATACAGCTTATGTTTGATGAATCGATGAATCAGTAATTTTCATAGCATAAATGGTCGAGCTGCTTAATGACAAGTTTTAGTACTGTTCACCGCATAGGAGGTTTACGTTCCGAACAGAGATGGCCTCCCCCCCACTGGGCCTTCAGCGACGTAGAGATTCCCCAGGAAGAGCAGTGGACTGCGTGAAACGGCACTGCACTTATTGAAAGCCTCCAGCAACTAGGTACTGTACCAGATGATATGCCGCTGGGTTCCCATTCGCGACGGATGGTGTTGGATTGAGGGCTGCTTCGAGGCATCTGTCCACATGCTCGCGGTGTCCCTTATTAACGGCGGGGGCCACCAAGTGGGACATCCCCCCAAGTGGGACACTTTTCACACCAAAAGGCCACACTTGCACGCACTGACAACTCCATCCGAATTGAAGTTATAAATTATATAATAAATGCATTAGAACCGCCGTTTCTTGAAGTCTTCAGCAATATTAATTGTTCGCCCGGTACCGTGCGGGCTGTTGGATTGCGCGGCGCGAAGATCGCACCACAGTGGGCTCGTCGGCTTCATCATCCGGCTCATCAGACCCCTCCTCGTTCCCATCGTTAACAACCACCCCTTCGTCTAATTCTTCTGAATCTAACGATTCAGAGGAGAGGGAGTCTTCAGGGAGTGATCTCTCTGATTTGTCAGTATGCAAGTTCTGTAATTCACGCAAAACTCGTTGTCTCTCTGCCCGTTGCTCAATAGCAGCTCGTGCTGTTGAATACACGGATGATGATTGATTCTATTGATTGTTGTGCTCTGTGTGCAGAGATTGATTATCTGTCTTCTTGGTGGGTCAGATGCCCTGTGCGTCTCTGCCCTACTAGAGATCTTCCGGTGTCTATCTCCGGCTCCTATTCAACACACCCCCCCAGGAACAACTCCTTCCATTGGGGTTGTTCCTGAGCATTCAGTCTGTTGCTCTTCCTGTTCAAGGTTATCTTTAAGTTCTTGTAGCTTGCGGGCTACAAGTCTCTCATGGATATCTGTCAGCCTCACTTGCTCCCTGAATGTCTTGAACTTTGGTGCTGACAGTGCCTTGGTCAGGCCGTCTGCAAGCATCATTCCACTCCGGACGTACTCGACGTCTATCTTCCCATTGCGTTGAGCTTCCCTTAACCAGTGATTATGGATATCGACGTGCTTGAGCTTTGTTTGAAATGTTTGAAGGTCCTTCCGCATCAACTTGATGGTCTGTTGGTTGTCACACCAAATCCGGAGAATTGGACAGTCCAAGGATACGCCAATTTCTCTAAAAAGTTGTGAGACAAATATCACTTCTTTGGCTGCTTAGGTAAGGGATAACAGTTCTGCCTCTGTTATTGAGGTTGTCACTGTGTCCTGTTTATTTGCTCTCCAGTCAATGATGCCTCCAAATAACTTCATGACATATGCTTGTGAGCTCTTTTGGTCAAGACAGTTGTCAGCAAATGATGTATCGCTCCATGTTTCCAGCAGATCTTCACCCCTCAATTGAAAAGCAAAAGACCTGGTGCCCTTCAGGTACTCTAATAGGTGCTCTGCTGCAGCAGAATATAAATTATTTGGGTTAGTATTGAAGCGTGAAAGCCGAGAGGCAGCAAAGAAGATATCAAGTCATGTGATCACTGCTGTGTATAAGACTGATCCAATCTTCTTTTGGTATCTGTTGATTGAGGCTGGCGAGGCAAGCTCGTCACTTGGGAGAAGTTCTTGAGGCTTCATAGGGATCTCTGGGCACTCTTTGTTGTGGTCGATATGGCTTGTAATTTTGTTGATATATGAGGCTTGAGACAGCCAGATGAGCCGCTATTTTCAGTCCCTGATGATCTCTATCACCAAGAACCACTGTAGTGACTCTCCTCCTGTCAACTTATAGGTAGCTTTGAGCTTCTTTGTGACCGCCTTAATAGCATTCTGATGGTGTCCTTTGAAAGCTATCACGATATCATCCACATAGAAAAGATGATCATGCCATCCTTTGTGAAGTAACAGGGTTCGTGAGCGACTGGTTTGAAGTTAAGGTCTGTGAAAGTTTTGGTGAAATGCTTCTGCCATAACAAAGAAGATTGCCATAATCCGTATAGAGCCTTCTTTAGCAAAAGGACCTTTCCTTGTTCACGATGCCCTCGTGGCATTTTCATGAAGACTTCCTCTTCTAGGTCTGCGTTAACAAAGGCGTTGATGGCATCATATTGGATGAGCCCAAGATTGAACCAGGCGTTGATGGCATCATATTGGATGAGCTCAAGATTGAACCGGGCTGCGATTGTTATAAGGGCTCTGAAAGATCTGCCTGCAAGAGTTGATGCATAGGTATCCTCATAGATATTCTTATTTTGCTGGTCACCGCAAACTATAAGGCGTGCTTTGCACTTACTTAGAAAGCCGTGCTTGTCAAATTTGTACTTGTATACCCACATATAGTCTAGGATTTGGTGTCCATTTGCTGCTGACTTGTCAGTAATTATCCATGATCCATTTCATTGTGGCTGCTGATGTGGTCAACCTCGGTTTGACGCCACTCAGCCTTGTAGAGATGGTTCTTTACACCTTGCCAGTTCTTTGGCTCTAGTGGTAATAATCGTTGATGTATCTTCCCTACTTTTGTAGGTATTGAGACTGGGCCATGATGATTTCTTTGGTGTGATAATTTTTTACCAGGACGAGAGCCATAGATTCTGTACTTGTTGTACTTGGCTTTGCTCACCGGCCTGCCATCTATCAAACCAACAGGATTGGCAATGCATCCAGCATTGAACGCTGCTTCCCAATTCCCGTGACGATTTCGTATGGCCTGGGCGTCCCCAGTTAAAGGTAACAAGCGGGCATCTAACCCTTCTTCTGCTCGCTGGGAGCACAATGCTCTGACCTGGCCCTCTACAGGCTCTCTGATAGTAGCAGCCAGCAGTGCTGCTGCAGGCGGAGGAGTGGGTTCTGGGGTCAAATATGGCTCAAACGCGGCAGATGTATAGGGGTAATCAGTCCCTTTGCTACCATTTGTGTTGGCTTTGTCCTGGGTATCTTTTGTACCATTATTACTCAAGTCCATCTCATCTCTGTCTGGGTACTCCTGTATTAATCTGTTAAGATCTTTATCTTCCTGGTATACTGGAATGTTCTCTAGGATTTTGGATGGCACTTCGTGTCTATTTAGAAATAGTGTTAGTTGTTCCTCGCTGACATGCAGGAGGTCGTCCTTGAGGTCGCTCAAGTCTCCTGAGAACATCTCGTCTTTGTCTGCTATCATATCACGCATAGCGTGGACCTTGCTGGTTAATGGGTTTCAGACCAGATAGATGTTGGTTGAGTTATATCCCACAAGATAGCCAACCCAGGCTTTTGGGTTCAGCTTCTTGAGGCGGTCCTTCTTCTCCTGTGCGGCGGCAGTCATTGCAAACATTTTGCAGCCATATGCTCGTAAGTGTGTATGCATTGGTCTGCAGTCAGGGGTAACTAGGCCGTCTCGGAATGACAGATACTGGAAGAACATCTCATATGGGGTCTTCCAGTTGTGGTGCTAGAATGGTATTCTGTTATATAGATACACTGCTGCAGTATAGATGTGACGCCAGAGATATATTGGTAGCTTGGCTCCGCTGCGCATGGCAAGAGCTTTTGCTTTGATTACACCCCCCGAGCGCTCAGCGCCTCCATTTTGGTCTTGGGTATGAAGTGCAGAGGGCTCAATTCGGATGTGGTTGTCTTGGATGAAGTCTTCAATGTTCTTTGACTTGGTGAACTCGTTGTCTGTTTCTATGGCCTCAATATTGATCTGGAACTGTATCTTCAGTATACCAAGGATGCTTTGGAGGTCGCCAATTATGTGTTCTGTAGTTCTCCTTTTCAGGAAGTATGCCCACATGTACCTAGAGTATCTGTAAGTGACAAACATAATACTCCAGTAGCCATCTGAATCTTTCTCAAGGTCAAGAGAATCAATAGACAGGATGCTACCTGGCTTGGTTAATGGTCGTCTAGGTGTTTTGCGTGTCTGTCTCTTAATTTTGGCCTTGCCACACCCGTCACACTGAGCAGTAGAGGGACCCTTGATTCTCACTCCTTTAGCATGCTTTGTAATCTGAGCAATTACTTCAGGGCTAGAATACCCTAGTCGCCAGTGCCAGAGGTTCTCATTACCCTTGTTTGGAGCTCTTTCTGTTCTGGAGTTGATCATCCTCCTCTGCAGGGCAAAGGACGCTTTGGTTTCGTCAAGGGGTATGTCCTCTACAACCCATTGTCTAAACTTATCTGTGAGTTTGGACACCACTGAATCATCCTTTTGTCTGACACAGTTATTAAGAGGTTTGTTGTCCCAGTAGTATCCAAGCTTTTTGAGTTGTTGTAAAGATACAAGGTTTGTCGCAAATCCTTTATAGAAGGCGACATTCTGTAGTGTCAAGATGAATGGTCCCAGTGAGTCATGAGCAGTGATGTCTACTTCTCCGTATTCTAGGATTGGTATGAAGGTGTCTCCTGTATATACTTTATTACCTGTTGGGGCTCTGTGAAAGTTATTGAAGCGAGTGATAACGTTGAAGATATGTAAGGTTGTGCAAGAGTTGAGAATTAACGAGTTGAGTAAGGGGTAAAGAGCGGTTGCGTAAGAGGACTTTGTGTTATTTGCTAAGTAAGATGCTGCTGTCTTCTTTGCGTGTGTTGGCACATGTTGTACTCTCTCACCCCTTTCTGCGAGTCAATCACGTAGTGTCTGTCTCTTGGAAATTCGGGCCACTTCTTTAGATAGATTGTTGTCCCTTTCAAGCAGTATTTTGACCATTTGCTCCACTCCATGGTGGACTTTCCATCCATTTGGTCGCTTGTCTGGGAAGAGGTAAAAGCACTCTGTGAAGTGGTGCCCTTTATAGTAGCATCCCTTGCATGCTTGAGTGGTTGAAGGAGCTTCTCCATTGTCTC